GTTAATGTCTTTTATTAAAAAATAACAAGCTCCCCAGAAGATACTACTGAAATGATAAACAAATATTCTATTTACCAAAACTTAAATTTTTATTGAAATACAATTTCAACATGCAATTCACTACTGCCTTCAAAACCTTCAAAAACACCATCAAAGAAATTCAGCAACATATTCTCATAAATTGCCATTGCTTTGTCTTCTTAGTGATTTTTTTTCAGGGCCATTTTCCATTGATGGGTGGGGTGTTTGTTTGGGTTTATTTTATTTCAACCAACTCAAGTAAGAATCTCTTACATGGGCCTCCAGGAGCCTACTGTGGGATATTTGCTTGGGAGAAGCAAGTCCAATGACAAAGTCCATCTTAGAAATGAATTCAGATACTCAGCTCGTGCTATCTATCTTTCCCAGCCCAAGATACACAGGGCATAACAAGGAGAAAGATAGTATTAATGAATTAGGTCCAATTAGTAGAGCAGAAAGCAAGATGGTCTTCATTTTCTTAAATGAATTTCATTTTGGGAACTGATCAGCTCATCTTTCCACCGAAGGAGGAATGAGCACCAAACATTTCGTGGTTCAGAATGGGGAAAGGGGTGAGCAAGTGACAATATGTAATAAAATGATTTTTTTTCTTTTCTGCTGGAGGTGCTGCTGTGAGTTCAGTTCCTGCTGGAATTGATTTGGCTCAATAAATGGATCAGGGTGTTGGTGGGTTTTTTAAAAGTAAATTATATGTAAGATTTGGCAGGGAAAGCTGTGGGACACCTTCTCAGCTTGAAGGCGTGTGTAGACTAATTCCTCTCTCCCCATCTGAGTGCTGATAATTTCTGCTCGCTTCTCTGACACTGCAGAAGCAAAAACCGGGCAGAAATGTGCTGGTTTGTATTGATGGGAATGGGTTTTTTTGTTGGTAAGTGGTCCTCAGTGATGTATGTGGTTAATTTTCTATTAGCTTCCCCAGTCTCAGGAGGGCTGGGGGAGCTTCTGCAGTGATTAGAAAGGCTGTTTTTTCCCCAACACCTTCAGTTAACAAACATCTGGAGAAATCCACCTGAATCTATCGATCTTTTGGAGACTCTGGCACCAAGTCCAGAGCATTTTTTTTTGTACCAACACATTTTTTTAACCATTTTATCATCTAGGAGATCTAGGATTTTCTGTTAAAAGCTGATGTTTCTTGTCTGTGAAAAGATTTTTTATAGATCTTACTCCAATCTTCAGCGATGGCTCTGCACTGAAGCAGGCCTGACTAGGAATGGCATTCTAAAAGTGAGTAGATTAGAAAGGTTTTATTTATATATTTTTTTTAATGGCTTTGATGTGTATTCCTTCATCAAGTCATGAGACCTGGACCTTTAATGTGGATATGAAAAAAATGGGTGCTTCTGCAGGCTGAATAAACCACAGGCTCTCTGTGTCATTCTCCACAGAGGAAACCAAGTGGATGGATGATGAGACAAGGTCATCTTCTTGCACAGGAATTTATCACCATTCTCCTCAAAGGAGGCTTTGGGAAAGAAGTGGATAAACACCCATTGTCCAGGACTTCAAAGATGGCAACATCACACTGTGGACCTTTAGCATCAGATTTCTGCTTTTTTCAGGAGTCTGTGATCCCATCCCCCTCAAGTGTCCTCACTGACGATATTTTCTGTAGGGATTTGACACCTCTTCCAGTCCAGCTGGTAGGACACGGTGGTTGTAAGGACTGCAGAAAGTCTCAAAAACCATTCTAAGAGTTTGATCTTTCTGTCTTGTCCTTGAAGAAAATATTCAGAATTTTTCAGGGACTACATCACAGTGTGTAGGAACAAGATGCTCACTTGACACCACAGATTTTTCAGAAGCCTAGTGAGATAATTCTGAGTTTTGGAACTGCAGAATGGCAGTGCTCGGCAACTAAATCCTGTCTTGATGTTTTGTGTTTTTTACTGTGCTGAATTACTCTGGCATAGGATGAGGACTCCAACTTTGTCCTCGTTATTTAATGGGAAGGATTTGGAAAAAGATGAGCAGAATATTTTCTTTAAATTTGTATTGGCATAGATACTAATGATTTATATGGTGGAGTCAAGGCTGCTTCTGTTAAAGTAGATGTCAAAAAGAAGATGTCAGGCCTTGCAGCAGGAGAAAAGGATATAGCTCCTTTCCTGTGGCTATTAGGTTTTGTATTCTTTTGGGTTTGTGAATATATTTAAAAGGAAATAGAAAAAACCTATCTCTAAGGAAGCAAAGATCTTCCTTCCTGTTGGGAAAGGAGTCAGGCAAGAACGATAAATTCCTTGCCAAGTGAGTCATTTCTTCACTTAAGAGACTTCAAAGCTTTAAAAATTACTTTTTGGGCCATGGAGCTTAGATATGAAGTTGTATGCTCTCTTAATGGGCAAAGCTGATCTTTCCCTTGACAGGAAATGATAATAGAAAGATGGCAAGGAAATAAGTGACTTTGAATGAGATGCTGCAATATTAGATCTTCCCAGAACAGCTCTGACAAATACCCTGCTATTGTATCACACGCTGGCAGAAGCGAGAAGCGAGTGTTTAGGGCTGCTCAGTGCTTCCAGTGTTAGTTGTCAAATAACGTACAAGCTAAGTAAATACTTACAGGACAAATAAAGGAAAGCCAAACTACAATTTGAGTTTGACAGTCATGCATTTTCTTGAAATGCCTGGGAATGATGTGATTAAAAATAGGATCATTGCATAGCATTTATTGAAGTAAGAGGTGAAGTGAGGGTTTTTACATAGCGCTACCTTCTAAAGCTCTAGCCCCGCTGTGGCAGCCTCCTCAGCTCTCAGGTTCTTAGAGAAACTGTTACCAAGACCGTTGGTGACTCCCGGTCTCATGAGAGTGGACAAATGTATTTGTCTGACTGCTTTCAACTTGTGCAGTTACAGGGAATTAATTGTACATTAACACTGTGCAAATTTCAGAGCATGAACTGAGAGAAGTGGCACGAAAGGGCATTACTTTCTCTGAGTATTTGATGGTGCAGTGACGTGCTGATCACCAGCATACTGGTTTTTCTAGCACTTTACCCTGCTCAAACGTTGTGTATCAATCCTAACTTAGGGTTGTAGGTCCTTAAACACCAAAAAACTCGATGATGGAACATGTAAGACTCTGCTCAGTAAGAACGTTAGTTCTGTTTGAAGGCTTTTGGTGTTTGCTGAGCCTTAGCTCAGGTGAATGCTCAGCGTGTTACATGTTCACAAAGCAAAAATCCCACGTTTCTTGTTGAATCCCCCACAAAGTGATGTGGGTACCACTCCGTGAAATAAAACCCAGCTAAAAACCACACAACAATCAACTTTTTAAAGGTAAAAAACCTCCACTGTCTCCTTTGAGGTGTCAGTGCCATGAGTCCCAAGCAGAGAGAGGAGCCATGAGATGGTGCCCATGGGAGCTCCCGCCAGAGGGGACAACTGCAGGAATCCCCTTTCCTGGCGCCAGAGCATCTGTTGGGGGACAGGGCACCCCTCTTCTCTAGACACCTTTGATGATGCCTAAACAGAAAACAAACTAAAACCTCATCATGTGGCCTGGAATACTCTGAAGTCCTTCCAAAACCTCCAGCTGCTCAAGCAAGGTTGAATTTTAGGCCTTGATAGCTTACAGAAAAATTAACAGTTTAGCTAGACCAATCTATGGTTCAGTTTATTTTATCTGGAGAAACTTCCTTTTGAGGAAATTTTTTAAAAAGTACTTCAACCCAGTCCTCCTCATATTGGTTCCATACCAGCTGTATAGATTTCCAATAAATGCATCACGGAAGGGGAGGAAAGAAACCGAACAATAAATATGTGAAGTGAGGAGCCGTAAAGGTGACCTGGCTAGAAGGGGACAAGCATCCAACAGATGTCTGCTGAAATACCAAGAGAGAAATTGCCTGCTGGGCCTGGGTGCTGTGAGCCTGGGAACCAGAAGTGTCCTTCAGAAGCACAGCCAGCATCTCTGAAGTGCAGCCGGGTACCTAGGAACCGGAGACATCCCGAGATACCCTCAGTAAGTGCACAACGGAGGAACTGTAATAGTAACTTACAATCTGAAAAGCTGCAAAATAGTTTGGAAAATGGAGAAAACAACCTGAGAAAGCAAGAATTGGTAGCTGCCATTGGCTGTTCTAACTGCAAGAACAGGAAAAGTCCTGGAAAATAAAAATTGGTCTGAGAAAACAGAAATCATCAGCATCCATTGGCTTCTCCAAGTGATGGTGTCCAACACCTTCTTATGCCTCTACGATATAAAAGTTACTTTCTATCCAAAACTGGAGCTTCTCTCTCTCTTTCTGTGCTGCACATACTTGTCCATTTCCTAAACAGGTCTGAGTGAACTTTCTACAAGACCCTGGACCCTCATGGGGACTCCGTGACATGGATCATCTTTGAAGTGAGACTCTGCCTCTCGTTTTACTGTTCCTCCACTGAGGCCACATCCAGGGCTGGTCTAGTTTCTTCTCCCACCTGTGGGATGGCTGGGCCCATTCCAAGATGTGTCCAACGTGTTTGGTGCCACATGTAAGTTAACTGTCGTAACTACATCTGCTGTTATACATCATTGATAGATTTGCTTCACTAGTAAAAACTTTGTCGTAACTGGTAATATTTTACATATGTAGACTTCATTGCTACTATTATTGGGTGCTGCTGTCATTGATTGTCGCTATAATTAATTGCTGCTACATTATCAAGTGTTGCTACACTACTGCTTGCGGATAATACTTTGTAATAGCTTGATATACATATTTGCTTTCTTAACCTTAAGTATACTTGCTAGTGGAGATTTATGTGCTATTTATGGTAAAGCCAAGGATAAAGTCTCAACACCCTCGTGTATTACAAAATCCTATGAACCCCCAGTTGTGATCTTTGTCCCCCCATGGGCCGGGTAACCCTTGAGGCCGTGACACCGTGTTACGAGCGCAGTCACCCAGCCCCAGCTCTTCAGAGCAGGATGCAAAGCAGCCAGAAAAGAATAAGGAACAACACGCACAGAATTCTCTAATATCAAAATATAGCAATTTATTCAAGACACTGAATATGATCTGTTGATTCTCTCCTTAAAACAAATGAGCTACAATACACAAGGTGAATTTGAAGAAAGTGTGGGTGGGGGGAGAAACAAAATAAGGGTTGATGTTGTTTCAACAGAACCTGGGAAATGCTGAAATGAGAACCAAGTCTGGCTGCAAGTCTGACACAGACAATAAAAACTGCAGAAGCCAGAATTCAGAATTTCAGTGAGTGGCTGAAAGAACATTTCTGCAATTGACAAAGAACCACATCTTTTAAAAAGGCAAAAGAAGGAAAAAAAAGGAGGAAAAATTAAAAAGGGAAAAAGAAAAAAGAAACCCAAAAACAAAGCAGACCCTTACATTTGACAAAGTGCACTTCACTTGGCTCTAAAATTAGCTATTTTTTTCTTTTTTTTAAAACAAATTAAAAGGAAATTTCTAAGATGTAGCATGGGGTTAATGTGTGTATAACCCTGTAAGTCAGGCCCTTTAGTGCCCCATAAGGGACCCAGTGTTTTCTACATAAAAGATTCAGTATCCTTCTAACCCACAGAGTCGAGTGGTTTTTCAGAAACTGTCTTTTTTTCACTTCAAGGCCAGTTCCAGACAGCCAGCAATGATACAAATCCAGCAAGCCCCTCGATGGGTTTCACAACCCTGTGTGCTCACATGGGTGTTTCAATTTCTCTTCTGTTACAAAGAACTATGAAGAAAACGACCAAAAAATATTGTATGAAAAAAACCTGCTGAAATCTGTCAGCCTCTTGCTTGGTGCCGTTCTGTGGCGGGGGAGCTGGCCAGGGGACACCAGCAGAGCAGTGGAGGAAAGCCAGAAGTCCCATGAGGACAGTTCTGCAGGTCTTGGCTCAGATGTCCACGCTGAACTGGAGCTTGGAAAAGCCTCTCTCTCCCCATGGCCCACCTCCTGAAGCAACCAGCCCGCTAGGCTAGGATTAACCTTTGCAACTGCATCTTCTGCCTTCCTCAGTAGCTGCCCTCATATGAGCTGAAAACTCTCTACTACAGTAGCTGTGAGAATTTTCCAGTCTTTAGCATCTCGGGGAGGGGAAGAAAAGTGAATTTTTTCAGCTTTCCACGTACGCTGCTTTCAAATCTGATGGTCTGTAGGGAAAACTCTCCGGAGCAGGAGCCTCTCTCACACGTAGGCTTTGCAATCCCACTGACTTTTAAATTTTGTTTCTCTTGGCTTCTCACCTCCACGGAGGTAGGGCAGAGGTAAGGTGATGTTCCGACAATTTAAAGAAAGGATAAAAGGAGGAAGAAACAGGCATCATGGACACTGCCGAGTCATCCACAGTAGCTGTCCTGGGAAACACGGTGAAACACGGGCTGTGCACCATCGCTCAGCTCAGCGTCAGCAGCCTCATCTCTTGGAATCCTGAGGTCTGGCCTGTTCAGGGGTCCCTGGAGCTTCTGTGTGTTATTCTCAGAAATGCCACCCAAAACCAGCTTAGGAAGTTAACCGTGTACATGCAATGATTGTAATTAAATCATTGACCCAACCGTGCTTTATAAATCCACATTTAACTTTTCTGTTCAAATTTAAGCCTCCCTTCTAACAGGTACTCTTTTTTTTTTTTTTTTAAAGTAGTGACTTTAAATTAGTAGGTACACGTGGTTATTATAAACCAGTGCAAAACTGTCAGGGGATCATCTACAGCCCATGCTCTTGGAGCAGAAAACTGAAACCAACACATAAATGCATTTAACACTGAAAAGAATCCTTGATACCTTCCAGTGTCCAATTCTTTGATATAAATTATAAATGAGCCTAACTGTCATTAATAACTAAAATCCCACAAAACTGTTTTTACCTCAGGACTGAGTAACCCTTTCAGCAGTTGTTTCTTTTCATTCTTTTCTCCTTTCCAAATGTGTACCTTTAAGAAATGCAGCTGCAGCTGGCAGTGGCTGGTTCCACTGGAAGGACTAAGATCCTGTGCAGATGCAAGGATAAAGAGAGGAAAACCCAGGAGAAAAAATGAAGTATGGATTCCACAATGCCATGATGATGCCACAATGATGCCATGATGCCTGGAAGGTCTTGCACCACCTGGTGCAGGAGCAGTAGGGCTCTGGTTTCGGTTTTGGTCAGATCACATCACCACATCAGCAGCCGTGGTCCAACCAAAGGGAAGCTGCTCTGTTAAAGAAATGGTGACTTTGGGCAGGAAGGTTCTACGTGATGTTGAGGGGATTCTCTGCTTGCTTGTTTTTCTCTCCTGCAAATCCTCGCCCAGCCTGTGGGCTAGAGAGGGCACCTGTTTGACTCAGCTGCCACCACCCCAAGGTTGCCTTACAGTTTACAGCACTTTCAGTAAACTCCGCCTGTGCATCCTTCTTTGCATCCATCATCTGCTCCGGGTGTAGTCTTCAGCAGACATCCCTGCAGATGTCCAGCTTGCAGAGGAAGTCATGTCCAAAGTGGATGGGTGGTGCTTTGGAAGTCTTTATTGTCATTCCAATCATTTCACCCATCACAACTTTATACTAGTATATATGTTGAGACAGAATTTATATATCCTTTATCATGTCCTCACCTAATGGAGAGTTCTACATTGTCTTCTGAGCGCTGCACTGAGGACACCCACAAAGCTAAAGCTCCCTGGGCAGACCCAGAGCTTTCCTTGTAGCACGCAGAACACAGATGGCTGAGGGCGACAGCAGCACCATAGACTGCCCAACGTGATGGAAGAGGTTCCTCCAGGTGTGTGTCCACCATAGATGGACAGCAGCTTGGCAAGAGTGTGCTCTTCAACAATGACAGATGCAGTCAATAGATCTTGGTCCAACTGGTCCCATTAAGTCAGCAGTAAAATCCCATTGACTTACTGGAAGAGAAGCAGCTGAGTGGGTTGAACAGTGGAGGACAGCACGCTCAGCACCATCACGGGCAGCCAACCCCACGTTCAGTGTGACATTTGAGCTACTGATAGAGGAAAGAAGATCCACAATCGGTTTTCCCTGGTCACCAAGGTTATATGAAAGTATGGACTTAAGAAAATGAATGCTGTATTTATAGTCTTAAATTTATGAATCCCTGTTCCTGTGGGTACATCACCAAACAGCCACAAAAATGAAACGAGACTGTATCAATGGCTGGCTGCTGGAAGAGGACTCTTAGTAAATGACTGGCATTTGTTGTATCAAATGGCATTTTTTTTCTTACAGCTCTTTTTGAGAGAGAAGAGAAAAAGGATACTGCACCTTTCATGTTCCTTGGACTCCGTGTCATTCTTTTTGCTTGAATTACACAACTGGTCTACATTTGGTGGCCGTATTAGGCTTTTAAAACTGTTTAACATAAAAAATATTTTTTTTCCAAAAATACACTGGGTTCTTTCTGTTAAAAGTCATCTTTCTCCTGTAAAAATCTTCCCCAGCACTGCATTCTTATATAAAGCACTTATTACACAATTTGCTGAAAGTGCCCTTGAGACGCTAAGATCTGAAGCATGGAGGATTTTTTTTTCTTTTCAACGGAGAGAAAGAAAGGAAAAGGAAGAGAGAGAAGAGAGGAGAAGCAGTCTGTCAAAAATTTTCATTGTCATGTCCACCTGGCTGCATCTACTATGGGCATACAGGGAAAAAAGAAAAAAAAAAAAGGGTAAGAAGAAAGAGGAGGAAAAAAAAGGAAGGAGAAGTTGGGAGTGGAAGGGAGAAATAAAAGGAAAACAAAAGTTTCATCCTAAGCCTGGGATCCTCCAGGCTGTAATATTCCAGCTGATAGAAAAACCACTGAACAAAAAAAGTAGTCTAGAAAATAGAAAGTGTTGTGATTACAAAGTTGAGCATTTCATCAGTACAAACTGGTCTTTGAACGTCCTTTGGGAGAGCAACTGTAGTGTCCAAATTGGAAGGAAAAAATACAACACCGCATGGAGGAGGATTTTTTTTTTCCCTTTTGGTTTATCACAGCATTTTTCTTTTTTTTTTTTTATTAATTTTTTTTTGGCACAGCTTTTTTTTCCCAGCCATCAGAGCAAGTTCTCAGACGCAAACCAAACAGTGCAATGCCTAGCTGGTGGCTTCATGCTTCCAAGGCTGAATGTTCCAGGTGGAAACCATTCCCTCCCCCTCTGAAGTGACTGTGTTTTTACTCCTTGATGAAGGTTACGGACAAAATACTAGACACCTGTGGCCAGGGAGAGTTGGTTTCACGGTACACTCTAACTTTGTTCAAGTTCGTACAGTTCTGGAGCTGTTAAGAATAGTTTTGAAGAGTGCTTCTCCCCACACATTCACTGCTGGTCCATTTGAAATTTCTTCTAAAACATTTCACTTTTACTTCCGCAGGTCTAGAACACAAACCTGGAGAGAAAAGACTCAGCATTAAGAACCATTTCTGAAGGTGATGTGGAAGTCCTATTCATATATGTCTCCGCACACAGGCTGACCAAGCCAGCTGCACGTTGTACTCCCCAGCATCAAGTCAGCCTGTCTCAAGCAGGGGAGCAAGGGAACAACCCGACATGGGAGAAAACCTAAGTGAAAACCATACATTTAAAATTTAGCTGGGCTTTCGTTGGATTACAAAGAACCATTTTGGTGGCACGTCCCAGATAAGACTATGGGCTCTATTTAGTTGCTTGAATACAGCGTCCACTTCCATTAGGACAAGAGGTCCATTAGGATAAGAGGAAATGGCCTCAAGTTGTGCCAGGGAAGGCACACAAAAAGAAAAAATGTTTACACTGAAAGGGTTATCAAGCACTGGAACAGGCTGCCCAGGAAAGGGGTAGAATTGGCATCCCTGGAGGGATTCAAAGATGAGTAGATGTGGTGCTGAGGGACATGGTTTAGGGATGGTTTTTGTCAGTGTCAGGTTGACAGTTGCCTCGATGATCTGAAAGGTCCCCCCCAACCTAGGAGATTCTATGATTCCATTTCTGAAATACATCCAAACTAGATGCAGAGGCCTGGCAGGCATGGCACAGGACCTAGAGCAGACACAGGCCCATTTGGAGCAGCTGTTGGAAGCCAGGCATGGCACTATCTCAAATGGCACAACTAAGCTCAAACAACTGAATCATGTTGTAGGTGTACCCCTTGTTAAAACCAGTGGAAAAACACCACTCTAAAGTAGTTATGCCAGCCAGCCACGTAGAAAAATTATTTTAAAAAGCTGTAGAGTGTGTTATAACATCTGTGCGTCCTTCACAAGCTGATCATGCTACAAGTGAATTTTTTCTAAAGTAACATTAATAGCAAAAATAGTAATGAATAATCATGATCTCTCCAGCAACATTTCTCCTTTACCACATGATGAAATCTTTGGGCATCATGCTGAAAACTTCCTCTTTTAGGAACTATTCAAGGGTAAACTTCTGTGGGATAATACTTAGAAATCCCCAGGACAACTGCTTATTAGTGAGTTGACTGCTGTGACCTGAACTTCATTAAAAATTTGCAGGTGAGATACATAATGACAGAAAATGTATTTAAAGCTGCTCCCATATTCAGTAACACTCACCTATTCCAAAAATGTTCTTCATTTACCATAGGAACACCATCTCCTGGTATTCAAAACCTTCCAAAGCAGGAGCATTTTTAATGTACCCCACAGAACTACTTATTTCTGCCTTGAGCTGCCTACTCTTCAGCACTGCCCAGAGAAGGCAGTAGGGCATGTATGGGTTTTTGTTGGCCCTCTCCAGAAGAGCAATCTCCACTCAACATTCACAATGTGTAAAGCTCCTTACCGATCCGTCTGATGCGCTTGCTCCCACTTTGTCTCCTCTAGCGTTCCAGCAGACTTCAAAGATGCCCCCGGTGCCTCGGTAGCTATGTACTAGAGTTCCACTCTACAAGGCAAAAAAGCAAGCAAATATTTGATATACAAGTTCTCCTTTTCTTACTCTGTCTTGTGGGACTAGATTAAAAAGAAAAAAGTGGTGGTGGGGGGAGGGCTATTCACATCACCCAACTATTAGTATCCAGAATTAAAGCTACTTTCATGCATGCTGGTGTCTGAGTATACAATGAAGCCTGAGCAGAAATGTTCTGGACAGTCACCTCACTTCACCCGAGTGACTCAACTGTTCTGCTGGGATTTGTACCAGCCAATACAATCGGGTTCACCTTGGCCGACAGGTCATACGTTACAGGGGCACATACATTTTCCATTTAAGCTTTTCCTATTCATGTGGCATTTAAAACAGATGTGCTTCACACGAAGCAAAAAACAGTACCTGAGTATTCCATATATGGACACATTTGTCAAAGGACCCACTGGCTAGATATTTTCCATCAGGACTAAAAGCTACACTGTAGACAGGCTCTTGATGTTTTGTTAACGTATGGATGCAGACTCCTCGGTCAACGTCCCACAGCCGAACGGTGGAATCAAACGAAGCACTGCAAGAAGCATTCAATCACAAGCATGTCTTAATTTGAGTGTTAATCAATTTCTAGTCTGATACTGTAAACATTTTAAGAGAATAACACGTTTTTTTTTCCTTGGCTAAGCAAGAAACAATGTTTCAGACAGAAAAGCTAATATTCACTACAGCTTTGTCAAGAACTATATCTACCAAATTGAATTCTTGTATGTGGAACCTTTGACTTTATCTCAGGGTGCTGTACACAGGATCAGATGACTAGCTAGCCCTAAGAAGGTCAAGCTCCTGCTTTTTGAGATTCTACCTGATATTACTCAGGAAGGTAAAATATATACTGTCATTAATAGGGTAAATGGTTCCAGAGAAATCTTATTCCTAATAGTTTTGCATTATTTAATGAATTAACATTCTGTAATTCTCTAGAACTGTGATTCTTTTCACTTTGTTTCCATGATGTTTTTTAGATGATCCATCTAAATCCCAAACGGTGGGCTTAGAAAAAGGCAAGGGAAATAATTAGTATTAAAAATAATATTAAATAAACAACTCCAAGAAAGCAAAGTTCTTCTTCCCTGTCCAATTCCAGACTAAGGAGTAAAATAAATAAACCAGCTTTGATACAACTCCTCCCCAAACTGAATACACCATGAACTGATTTGATAATCCCACGGTACTACCATCCCTTGGCATTCTATAAGTAAACATATTTCCTAAACTCAAAAAAGAATTTTGAACAGATTTTCAAATGGAATTTTAAATACTATCCAAGCTTTTGTCTGTTATTTAACAGGGCCATAAAAACTGTCAGTGTCTGGCCCAGGTGAGTTGCATGACCCTGGTTAGAACACTTTCCAACTGGCTGAACGGGCTGCCATCTGCCTCATTAAGTACTTTCATTCATAACAACCGAGTGTCAGATGTGGAGGTGCAATGCCAAATTTACAACACTTTCATCAAGGTGGCTGTTAAATATGACATGACTCCATTTTCCTTCTTTTTTTTCTTCTTTCTTTTTCAAATATAATTCCATCCCTTTTGTACCCATACCCCTGACTCACAAACACAGGTACTTTTTAACTGGAACTGTCTGCAGGACGACTGATGGCAAGGCGACAGTGGAGTCACATGTCAGAAAGATGATCCTTCTTCATAGGCAAAAGGAAGAAGCATATTTTTTACCTTGCTAACATGATGTTGGAGTTTGGGTTGCTGGTGCCTGGTCCTGTAGGACTCCATTTGATAGTATAAATCTCTTTGCTGTGAGCCTGAAGATCATGTACACAGGTATCTTGCTTCATACTCCAAATCTAAGTCAGAGTAATTATGAAGGGAAAAAAATGGCAATGTTACTAATCTTTTCTCAGCTGAATTATTTCAGTTCTATGTTACTCTTACCACTTGTTCATTTAAGATCTTGACAGACATGCATACACATAAACATAATTTAACTTTATTAATGCAGCAGTTCAGCATCTACAATGTGCACACATGTTAGAATAATCCCCTTTATGGGAAAGAGCTATATATTTAAAAGTATTTATCCAATAGATAAGAACAACTAAATAGTTGCTGTACTGTCCATAGTCTGAAACTGTATTTTCATACAGAAACATAAGCTACTCCATCTAGAGAAATTTAACTTTGTCACATATTGCAACAGCAGTCATCTTAAAGAACAAAGTTTCAATAACTGCTTAGAACTTAATAATTTTCTCTTATGACAGTCAAGAGCCACATCAAATTTTCCTTTCCCTCCTAACCCCATTTGTTTTGCTGATGTTTTTAACAGTACTAACAATGGAACAAGACCATCTCTTTATGCACTGTTGTGTGGCCAAATACTTCAGCGTGAGATAAAGATTATGCTCAACAGAGATGACAGGTAATTTAATAGATCTTCTCTTCAGCTAACTGAGAAAACAAGGTGGAGCTAATTCACAACAGGGATCATAACACAAATGTAGAAAGTCAGTTTCAGAGAGACACCAAAAATGTAGTAATGATTTAACTCACTTGTTATAAGTCTGCGCTATGAGGGAAATGATGTGCTCTCATGACGAATTTTCATCAGCAGACCTGAGTCTGCTTTTGGAAATGCTACACAAAGCTTAGCTGCGTGCTACAGCTAACAGGCAACATTTTCCAAAAAGTTGTAGGAAAATATAAAGAATTCCAAAAAAAGAGAAAGAAACTAAGCCAAAGAGGAATGATTTCCAAAGGAGAAAGAATAATAATTGCCTGAAAAGGATTTGTAGTCTCCATCATTGAAGATTTTTAAAAACAGGCGAGGCTGAGGATAGCAGAGGGGCTTTGCTGTTACAACATACAGCTATTTCTGTGTGGACATAGTCTTCATAAGAGTGAGAGGAGCCTGGGCTGTTGGAGCGGGTCCAGAGGAGGGCCACAGAAAAAATCAGAGGTATGAACTCCTCTGCTACGAGGACAGGCTGAGAGAGTTGGGGTTGTTCAGCCTGGAGAAGAGAAGGCTCCGGGGAGACCTTATAGCAGCCTATATAAGCTTATAAGCAAGATGGGGACAAACTTTTTAGCAGGGCCTGTTGTGAAAGGACAAAGGGTAACAGCTTCAAACTAAAGGAGGGTAGATTTAGACCAGATATAAGGAAGACATTTTTTATGAAGAGGGTTGTGAAACACTGGAGCAGGTTACCCAGACCTTTTTAGCAGGGCCTGTTGTGAAAGGACAAAGGGTAACAGCTTCAAACTAAAGGAGGGTAGATTTAGACCAGATATAAGGAAGACATTTTTTATGAAGAGGGTTGTGAAACACTGGAGCAGGTTACCCAGACAGGTGATAGATGCCCCATCCCTGGAAACATTCAAGGTCAGGTTGGACAGGTCTCTGAGTAACCTGATCTAGTTGCAGATGTCCCTGGTCATTGCAGGGGGCTTGGACTAGCTGACCTTTAAGGGTCCCTCCCAACCCAAACTAATCCATGATTCTAACTTCAGGCACCTAAAAGAGGCATGTACATCAGCAGTGTAGCTGCCTTGGGCTTCTCATACAGGGAATGCATAAAGACAAGGGTCTTCAGAGAGCAATTCAGATTTTTGGTGGACTCAATTTATATGTCGTCTCCCATTGCTTAGTCCAAAACTATAAAAAAAAATAAATATCAAATGGCTCCAATGAAATTATTTTCAGAAAAAAAAAGATTCCAAAGGGAAAGAAAACTTGATTTTTATATTCTTTCCAAAGGGTAACCGATAGACTGCTTCTTAGCATAGGGATTGTGCTTCTGCTGACAGGCAAGCAGGTCTATATATTTGCATATATTTAAACTATGACTATTCTGTGACCATGACATATCAGTCCCTTAACCCTATTTGGATAGGATGTCTCACTTTTCCCAGTGGCTGCTTCTCTGTGTTGAATCTTTCAGATTAGCTTTAAGAAATATGGGGCAAAATGAAACTGTTGCTCATGCAGAGTTTTAAGTGATACAGTACCATCATCCTGGAGAAGATTAAAAAACAGGCATAATTTTTGTTTTTACTTTCTGAACAGCAGGAATGGAAATGATATTACCTTTAATGTCATATCGTCGGAGCAAGATGCTAGTAGCATGCCAGATGGGTCCCATTTGATTGCGTTAACCTCGTTCTGCAATGAAGAGTGATTTTATGAAATAAATATCCCAGTTACCTGCGCTGTGCTGGGCAGCCAGCAGAGGGCACTCAAGGCTTACACATGCAGAAAGTTCAATCACAAAGTGCAGCCCCGGCTGCTCTATGGGTGAACAGAAGCGGTGCTGCCTGACGGGCTATTAACAGTCATTTAGGAATGGGAACCATTTTGTGTTTGTGAACAATACACACAGTGAGTCTTCTCATACGTGTTGTCCTACCCTTTCTTCATATGCTAGAATTTAAATAAACCCTCAAACAAGACAGATTGATGACACAGCCTCAGCTTCTTTCTAAAATCGAGATATTTCTTCGGTTAATATTCTGAAGATCTCAGAGATACAGTAGAAAATACTGGTGGGGTGTAAAGTTTTGTGGAGTTTATTAATCTTAGTAATGCAGCTCTACAACAACGCTGGCCTCTCTAAACAGAAGTGTATGTGCAAATGAAATCCAGCACGCAATATTGAATAGTTTACGATGCTTTCTCTATCAATCTTTCTAGCAGTTTGTAATTAACTAAGCCTAGTGTATCCCTTTGGTAATCAGTAAGTTCCCCGTGCTTTTCTGAGGGTCATACATATGGGGAAAAAAAGCATTTCCTAAAAAGGGAAAGATTTTTATTTTAAAAAACATAAATTGGCTCAGGGTCTCAGTGAAAATAATCCTGGAAAATACTTAGATTTTGCTTTATCCATTTTATATGTTTCAGTCATAATTAAGATATTTCAGGTAAAAATTTTGATCATGTGCAAAATGGTGTGCTTTATATAATCATAAAAAGCACCAGTCCGTTGGTAGGAATATACAACCCATCCTGAAATATCAGTTTAACCACAGACCAGCCAAAGGTCTCCAAACGCATAATTTTTCCGCAGTGGGGAGATAGCAAGTTCTGGAAGTTAATATCTAAATTAGAGGTCAGTATATGACAGCAGTTTTCTCATCAATGAAAGCTAGAAAAAAATAGCCTTTGACAGTCATTAAATACCACCAGGAAAAGAGGGGGGAAATAGATCTTAAATAAATTTTATTAGATTAAATTGATTCTAATACTGAACAATGACTGGAGGTAAATTGTTCTCTCCTTATTCATAGTTCTCATTTACTAAAGGAAATTAAGCCAACGGAAAAAAATTATGTTATTTATTAATGTGCCCTTAGTCTGCAGCTCATGCTACTTATAAATAGTCTCACTGTTTAAGCTGCAGGTTTTGCCTCCTACGGTGATGGAGAACAGTTTATCCCTGCTCACAGGCAGTGAGTCACTCCCAAGAAATATGGTTTTAGGGAAGCAATGGGATGTAACAGCTTTGGTGCTAGAACACACCCTGCAACCACATCATCTGCCATCATCGTAACGTGCTGTTGTGCCTTTACCTCTAGCATCTTGGACTTCTTAAACTTACTGTGTGTCCTTGGAAGGTTTTAACGGGACGATCACAGCCAAGTCTGCATACGTGAATGCACATGTCAGTGCTGCAGGAGGCAAAAGTAGTGTTGTTCTGCCAGTCTACATCCAGAGCAGGAGCTGTGAAGTACAAACAACGGAAGGAACATCAGGGAACACAGCTGAGAAACAGTTATCCCAAATCATTTTCCTCCTGTCACCCACCTGGATCAAACGGACTAAAAGCTAGTTCTTAGCCTATCACCTGCAACCACTTCCAGGGATGACAGGGACGGCCCAAAGGGCACAAATTATTTTTTCTCTTGCAGCGGGTGATCTGGATGCTTTGCCTGGCACCTATTTATTAGAATCTTTTTGGGTAAAGTTTCATAAGAGGCAGCAAAACAATCTGCCTCCCCCCCCGCCCCGCTAGACCCTTCTCTACCATTCATTCCTCTGTAAACCAGCTCAGCAAAGAACCTGGAAGAAAACTAATCCAGAAAAAACATGGATAATTTCATCTGGGTTAAAAAACCTGTTCCTGTGAATGCCAGGCACAACACACGGGAGGGAGAAGAAGCAGGTGGCCATCACCCCTTGCACTAGCTTTATGCAACCACCGATACAAACCTACTGTTCCGTGCAGACATGTGGATTAGTAATACCTATATTTAGTTTAATTTAGTTGGGGATTGATTTAAGATAGAGACATGGATAAAGCTGATCTGAAATTGAGAGGATGAGTTTCTGTAGAGGGTTTGGCATTAACTAGGATTAAAGTAATGAAACTTCGTACACAGGTAGCACGTGAACATGTAACTAGTACCTGTGTGCAAGACACACACTTTGCAAAAAGCGTGGAAAAAACCAAAAAACCCACCCTTTTACAGCATGTCACTGCAGACTAAAAGCATGTGCAGGAGAGGGAAGGAACTCCTGACATACAGCTTGCTTGTGTTTGTGTAATTGCTGCTTGGTTTTTTGCTCAGGAGAGAGTTTAGCTGCCCTCCAGAGGATGACATAAGACTTGCTAAAATACAGAAATCTTAATTCTCAGCACACTCCTGGGAGAAGCAAGTGTGTCAGAGTGAGACCAGCACACAGGAAGCAAAGTTGAATCTCTTTCTGGCAACAATACAAGTTTAGCATTTAAATGAAAGCAAGAAATGCCTTATTCAAATACGTTCAGAGACATATTTTAGTAATACAGAGGTGAAAAGATATCTGTGCTGCCAAGTCTCTTACATTTAAGTATGTTTTTTCCTGCTATAATTTTTATGAACTGCAAAATGAGATCGAACCATCTCATGTTCTAAATCATCAGGTAGCTCCCTAAATGAGAATGGAGGGCTGAAATTGTTTCGAATAAAAATATTTTTTAGAATATTAATGAAAAAGCTCAATAATTCTGCATGACAGGTAAGGGATTTCTACATTGCAGAAATATAAAGGAAAATTGTGTGAGGAAGGCAAATTACTTCCAAGATTTCCAATGAACATGAATAAGGATCATGAAACAGAAAAGGATTTTGTTTCTCTAACTGCCTGTTTGTCTTTATTTTTATGCTGCAAGCCTCGTATTACTGTTTCAGAGCAAACAAAAATCTATCTTCATTAATAGCAATATGCCTTTGGGGCTAATATCTAGTATGATACGTCTGAGTTGAAAAGTAATTTTCTGAGAGCTACTGGCACCTAAAGCAATGGATTTGCATTGCAGTGTAATTTGAATCATACAGTGTTGATAATTAATACTGATTCAGTTATTAGTATATTTAATCATATGTTTACTGGATAGGTAACTACAGAAAATGGTCTGGAAAAAACAACCAAACATGGTTTTTGATGTAAGTAATCAAATTGCCAAAGTGTCTCCAAAACCACAGGATACGAGCCAGTTGCATAAAAACAATTAGAATGTCATCTAATAAAAACTGCAACAAACCCTTAAGAAATACAGCTAAAATAAATACCAACAGTAAGAGTGTTACAATCATTATCAGTTAATTTAAGCTTTTTCTGATCAAATTTAGGTGTGATTCAGAATTAGGAGCTCAGAAGTGGAGAGAATTAAGTGTTTGCAGGGAGTGATCTGGATTACTTAGATGTCTAAAACTGGGTCACACAAATACCTCTTATTGTATCATTTAACTGATTTGTTCCTGCATGCATAGACATCAGTCTGCATCTATCAGTAGATGTGAAAACTGGATTAATTCCACTCCACTTTAAAGAAATAAGCTTTGCAAATGCATATTTTGATCAAATGTCTTATGATGACTCATAGTTTTGCAAAGAATAATGAAGCCCTAGAAGCTACTTATCCACTTACATATTTAGACAATAAAACCTTAAAGTTACATGGGAACACTAATGATAAAGACCTAGACAGAGGAGTCTTCCTTTACTTCCTTACTTTAACATGACAGTGTTGTCCATATGGCTGTAAACTAAACAAGTTGTAAAGCAGCAGAGAGTAAAAAATTTATGTTATTGCCAGGCTAACCATCTCTGGACTTCAAAGAAGTCTACAAAGAAGTACAACACACAAGTATGTGTTAAAGGAACTGTAGTCTGTCTAGACTAGACTCTTAATTGTTAAAATGCCACCTTTAATCCTTGTGTAGACAAGATTTTCAGATTCCAGATATGGAAGGAAATTACTGTTACTTTGTTCTGGTGAGTAAGTGATGCAAGAAGGACAAGGTCTTTGTGGCTTTAGATTTATGTGAGAACAAAGGGTCCAGCTGATCTTAAAAGGCTTATTGTTGGACGTACGCTTTTGGCCTATCAACGGTTTCCTTAAGAACAAACTGCTTTACTTCCCTGTGAAAACATGTATGAAATTATTTAAAAAAATTAGCCTCTCCACATCCCCACTTCAATCATGTCTTAATGGTCCAAAGACAAAGAGCAGATGCAAAAATTTTCTTTAAAAAATGTACGAATGTAGATGGACATTGGCATATTGCGCTGGAAGACATAATTAAGTTTTCAGCTTGCTGAAAGGGGAATGGCGTGGTATGTCCTTGATGCACATCACTGCTAAGACAGTCAGTGAACATGATTCTGAAAGGGCAGCCAAGTTCTGAATCTGCAACAACTTAGATCGGTAGTTAGGGATTAGAAGGCTTAAGAGTTTCATTAACTACATCGCTATACAGTGCAAAGTTTGCTTTTGTGGAACAGTTATGAGAGATAAATAAATGTCACAGTGAGAAAATCTGTCAGCAGACACTGACTCCTCCAAACTGACAGTTGAATTAATAAGCAAGAAGATGAGTGACAAAAATGCAGAGTATGGATCTGTTGTGTGCACGGACATACTTCTTGTCTTCTGTTCAATAACCACTTCAATTGCTCCTGCATATTAGTAACATATGTGAAAATGTGAGAATGAGAACAACTAGAAACTGAGTTGAAAAGCACGAGCAAATTAATGTTTTAAAATGAGAGGTAAAATACATGTTTTTAAACACCATTAAGCACCTTGTGCAAGCCTGCTGTATTAAAAAAATGATTAGCAACAGTGAGCACACAGGAAGAGGAACATTTCTAGCATAAGAATCTAGAATGTTTTGGTGGTTTTAAACTCAGTTTGACTACACCCCTTAAAAATACTTCACTGTGACAACTTAACCAGTTTGAATCATGAATTCAGTCATCATCCTACAAGTCTGGTCTCAGGCGAATTTAAGATTACGTCAATGATTGTGTATTGCTTAAGATTACTCAGTATCTGTGACATCTGTATCCTTGAAACAGACCAGATCTACAGATGACTATCCAAGTCAGGTTTTGGTGCAGCGAGATTTTGAAACTCAAAGTTGGCAACTGACTTCTGACAATCGGAGAAAGCAAATACTGAAGAACTTCAAGTCAAAATGAAACGCTAAGAAATTCCTGAGGCCCCTCAAGCTTGCAGTGGTGAATGCAAGCTGCACGAGAGATCTGTTTGCCTCTCAAGTCAGCTTCATTGCAACGGGAGCAGAAAGAGTGGAAGAAACACCAGACACCTCTTCATACATCACTGGTACTATTCAAGCACAGAGAAAATGACAGAATCATTCAGAATTTTGGTAGACGTGGCTGGTGTATAAATCCTTTCCTAGAATCAGTTTGACTCTCAAAGCTGATTCCCACAGAAGCCAATCTTTCTGAAAAAAGAATGAACCCACAAGCCATGATACACAGGATAGTTAAAGCACAAAAAACTTTGTTGAAACTTCACTCTGACAGATAGGTTTTTACAAAAGGATAAATTACACTGACATAATTAGAAACTGCATTTCATTTTACCAATAAGAGTTATACAGAAATTACCTGAATGGAAAGGAAACTGCTGTTTAGCTTCTCCTGTGTGAGCATCCCAAATTATTGTTGTCTGCATCCGAAGGAAGAGGGAAAAAAAAGATTAGTGACTGTTCAGCTCAGAGAAAACAAACAGAGAGCACCCTCACTGAGAAGCAATTCTAAAAGATGGACTGATAAAATTATTGACTGCAGAGAGCCTTGTGTGCTTAACAGCTGAAAAAACAGAAATCACTTCCAAACATTACAGAATAATAATCTAAGTGTAGATAAGGAAGTATCACCCCTTCATGAAGTAATATAACTACTAAGGATGGGCATCCTCTGTCTGAATAATGCTAGATGACAGCACTACCCATTTTTAACACGCATTTTCTTACAGCTGTTTCAAGTTCTCTTTGTCAAAGAAGACTTTTTCCCCTTTTCAAAGATGCAAATTGAATTCTATTCCAAATCTACATGATGCTCCATTTCTGACAATTAAACCACCAAGTGAAATGTTTATCTAGCAGCAGAGTGCATATCACTTCTTGCCACTGTGGTGGGACGGACTGAAGTGTAATTTGTTTACTACAGGTTTAATCCATACTCACAGCACACATAAGCAACTACCCTGTAGAGCTCAGTACCACCTTCGGAGTGAACTGTCAATATATTAGGAGTACACACTTCCAGAAAATAAATGAAGGCTGCCTCATCTTCCTGATAACGGATCATCTAAAGAATCGCTGCTGTTATTGGGAAGATAAGCTTGCCAGAATAATGGAACTACCATTGGGAGACAAGTGTAGCTGAATATAATCCAGTATTAAAAGGAATAAAACTAAATACTAATTTTCACCAGTATGTGAAAGTAGAGGACTTCATCTAGCCTACAAATCAGATGTACAAGCCTGATCTAGTTTCCCTAGAGTCCCTCTGTCAGTTGCTGGAGGGGAGCCACCATCAGGGCATCTCACTGCTACACAGGCCATACAACCCATCTTGGCCACACAACCCATCACTCGGAAGTGCCGTTTTTCTCTCCAAATTCTAAAAAGGAAGCCAAGGATGACGTACAGGTCTAATTTTTAGACATCGAAAGTCAGGCAACACGAATGCTGTGTACTTTCTGGTTTCAGTTTTAATGGATTTGTGCTCATCATCATCAGTCATCTGTTAATTTTAGTCTCTAATATGCACTCAGCTGAAACTACCATGTTTTGCTTGATTTGGAGTTCAGAACTACCATTTTTTGCCTATTTGCATAGGAAGTCATATATATTTTATTCAAATACAAGTGTTTCAATAATTAAATAAGCTAAAAGGTCAAGTATCTTTAATATAATTTCCTTCCTGGAAATAGTTAGTCAATAAAACTATAAACAGTAGTAGTGGAAACAGTTCTTTTCTTACTGAGAAACATTTATGATGCAATTTTACACAGGGGGGCAAGTGGAGTCGTTTTTTTTAAGAAAAATATTTTATGTAAAAATAGAACACATTTATGCAGCCTCAAAAATGTAATCAACACGCACTAAAACATATTAAAGAAAAGTAAACTCTCCAGGATGCCTGGAGGAGAACAAAATAATCTTACGGAATTCAGCAGCACAAGTTTACTGAGTCAGCACATTTATATATTAGAATAATGTATTTTTAAAACTCACTTTATCAACACCAGCACTTAAAATATAATTCCCCTTTTTGTTCCATTTCAGGGCAAATATTGGACCTTTATGTTGACCTAAGGTGCTTGCAAGGTTTCCTGGAATAAAGAAAAGGTTAATATTACAATTTGTTTACAAATTAGCCAAATTATAGTTCACTGCTTTTCGATGATTAAGAACAATAAATGTTGATTGACTTACCATCTTCTGTCCATATTCTTGCAAAACCATCATATGAGCCTGTAGCCAATAGTGTTCCATCACTCTGTGGGGATATACAAAAATGGCAAAGGTTGATACTAGATGAAATCTGGTCCAAGGAACATTTTCCTTTTCTTTTCTTTTCTTTTTTTTTTAAGGTTTGTGCATTGTGATTTATGGGAAATCTGAGTCCACACATTGAGACAGCTAATATTATGATTTAAACTACAGGTTTATTACTGCAGTCAGCAAAGAGGAAATAAAATCCTCTAACATACTGTGAAACACTGGGCTAAACCGTCAGACAAGAGTAATTTAATCAAAAGGATTAGAAAAAGAAAATAAGATGTAACAAATTCCATGGGGTTCTTCCAGATAACAAAAAGATACTACTTCTTAGACATAAAAAGCCTACAAAACATCAACAGATCGTCTAAATCCTGACTAAATCCCATTTCAGTGAAATTTAGGCACCTATACTTTAAAGAAGGACCTAAACACCTAAGTCACCTCCACTCACAGTGAACACCTCGAATGCTATCTGTCACAAAGAAGCTGCTTCCTACTTGTCTAAACACAGACTCCCAGACGTGATCAGAGGCACAGTACCATGCTGGATAGCTGGAGAAAAGCTGGATTCATGGGTCCCAATTAGGAGCAAAAAAGAGCCTAGGAATTGTAAGTATCAAAGTAGATGTATTCTGCTGGAGGGAGCCCTTTACTGAAGGATACCTCCTCTGCAGCAGTTATTGGGCCAGAATGAGAATAATTAGAAAGGAACTCGACTCTGCAACCTGGTGACACGGGTACTGTCAGAGCTGGGCCTTTAGTCTTGAAACATTTCAGGACCTGGATTAGCAGTGAGATTCATCCCGTTTATCTCCAGACATCCAGACGTTAGGAGTCAGTTGAAGAGAGTAACCCAGTCTCCTACAGAACTAACAGCATCACCCACCTCTAGAGCGTAATTAATGACCCCATTTGCTTTAGGCTCTGCCCAGACCAGTACAAGGGCACACATCTCTGCTTCTGCTGACTTATCGTCTACATGGTTAAATCTAAGGGAGTTGAATCCTGCCCTTAGGACCAAAGGACACAATCTGAATATGGCCTCCAGAAAGAACCTTTCTTATTATAAAGTAAATCACATAAACCAGAGAAGAACCAATTTAATATCACTAGTGTTAAAATTGCACAGTGAAATATGATTAATATTGTCATTCTAAATAACAATAAAGGCAGATGGCATTTCCAGCATCATGAATAGAAAATTAGGAAAAGGCATAAAATAATCCTTTAGAACATATGTCCACTCCAACCCTCCAAAAACAGTAAGTCAGAGCAGCTGTAGATTTAACTCAAACGTATAGTGATATAGGGGGAAAAATACCAAAACCTAAACCAACTTCCCTGTAATATATAGTTATCTGGATCACAGATTAGAATAAAAGTGATAAGAGCAAAAAGAGAAAAGCAAAGGAAAGCTCAGGGACTAGATGTACAGTTTATCCAAATTTGTTAAGTGGTAATTCACATTCTTTGGAATACTCAAAGTAAGTTGGAAGCATTTCAAGTGTTTAAATTAGGAACATTTCCTTACATTAAGTACTAGCATGGTGCAAGTGAAGTATAAGTGATCAATGAAGTCTTGAAAGGTAAGGAACTACTGCAGGAACTACTAGAGGATGCCCTGTATGTTTTGGACAACTTCTCTCATAACTGTTCTGCACCTTTGCATGTTTTCCTCTTTCAATTACTCTTTTCCTACTCCTCAATTCAGTTTTTCCCAACTATTTTTCTTCACCATGATATCCACAGGAAAGAAGCAATGAACGTTCTTGAATTTCATGTTTATTTGCTTTGTTAACCTACCTCTGCTTTCTGTACTATTCACCAAGTTCTTTCATTGTTTCAAATATAAAATACATAGGGGAAGCTGATTTATGCAATGACATTATCTTTTACTTTTGTGAAGCACCTAGCTCATCTGACAGACAATAATATTGCAGTAAAGATTAAGCAAATCTTTTTCTCTGGCCAGCAACTGAGACTGCATGTAACTTCTGAGAATTCTGGCACTTAATTTTTAATCTGTTTTCCTACAAAAACAAGACTAATGTGATCACACTGTCTCTACTAATACCAGCAAAGCAGACTGAATGCAAGTGATCTCAAAATTAATTAAGGTTCCTGCAAGGTTTTGTAAGTTCTTTTTAAAATGCTTGGTGGCAGAAAGGAGATGTGAAACAGATTTAGAGCCACCCAAAGATACTGCCCAGACACTGGGGATTCTTCATATCTCTCCTTTCTGCTCACTTCCACCTTCTCTGTGCTGGACCATATTATCTAAGACAGAAGGTTTTGCAGGATGAAAGTGAAAAAAGGAACAGCAAAACAGTCCCCTAGAAGGTGGGTAGGGAAAAAGAGAATGACTATTCATGCTCCTACCAAGATAAAGACAATAATGTGAACATGTTTTGCTTTGCACAGCATAATTCAAATGCGAGAGGGGCTTGATCTTGATAGTCCAGCCTCAGAAAAAGTATCACTGGTACTTATATCTCCTTACATGCCAAAATAAAGTAACTATGGGATGCAAATAAACTATTAATCAGGCTTCATTACTACATATATTGCTTGTTTAATTTTCATGCTTAAAGTTGGCTAAGTTTATTTTTACTCATGCTCCTAAAACAGAGATATAAATATATCATTATTAAGCTTGAAGATGGCAACAGTCCTGGAAAATTATAGCATATAGGGGAAAGTTCAGCCTATTATGAGTATTTGAAACAAGAGGTCAGTAGGTTAGGACAGAGCTTCTGGCCACCTCAGATACAAAAGATACAGAGCAGCAGCTGTAATTGCCTCTGAATTAAATTTAGACAGTTAAAAACCATGCACAGTCTTAGAAGTTAGCTTACATTCCAGTCCAATGAAGTCACATCCTTATTGCTGGGGACATCGTGTCCTCCTTCTCTTATGCAGTGCCTCAAAACTAGTTGAGTGGAACCGCTGTTGCTGTTTTCATTGAGATTCCATATTCTGGCCGTTGAGTCTCCAGATCTATAAAAGCAATCGAGCAGAGATGAAAACTCCTTTTGGTGTCGACCGAGCAAAAACCTCCATTTCTGTTTTCATTGAGAGAACATCACAGCCTTTATAAAGTAATTTTCCTTTTCAACACTTCGTGCACCCTGTATACCTTTTAAAAAAAGCTAATATATATTTAAATTAAACAATCATCTAAATCCACATCACCTTTTTCTTTATTCAGAAAAGTTCTACCTAAAATACATTTGCTTGCTCTCTACATTTTGCATTTCATACCTAAAGTTGATACCACCATAACTGAGATAGTCCAGGGGAACTCAACATTGCAAGAGTAACACTGGAGATCCCAATACGGACGGAAACACAAAGGCTACACCTACGTGCCTCACATAAAAAGGGTGCACAGTCCCATTAGCTCCCAATGACTCCCCGAGACGCTGGTGTTCTCCTGGAGCTGCCATATGCTCTCATCATGGTGGGATGGGACCCGCAGGGTCACCCACCTGCAGAGTCACCCATCTGCAGAGGTGCCGGGTGTCACCTCGGCAGCAGCCTCAGGGAAGGGGATCTCTAGCCACGGGACAAAGGTGCTGCACCTCCACCTCCCTGGTCCTGCCTGGGTTCCTCTGACAGCCATGGCAGGAGCAGGGGGTGACCTTAAGGCTGCCCTGAATTTGGCCATGCCCCTTTCATCAGGTACTTCTGTTCAGGACAGAGCAGAACAGAGCCTCTGATAGAGGCTGTTTGCAAAACAGCCTCTCAACATTAAATCAAACCAGGGAATCTAAAGATTAGGAAAGCAGAAAGGTAATTTAAATTAATTTTTAAAATTCATCTTAATTTCATTTTTTAAATTCATGTCTACAGGGTCCTTTGCTGTCTGTAGCTTGGCTGCTTAGCTGACCTTGTCCGAAAAAGTGGCAAAATAACTATTAACATTATAGAGCAAGACAGAGACACCATCAGGACTTTAATCTATCTTATAGGCCAAATATTTTCTAGGTGTTTTTATTGCCAACTGAAGCAAGACTGATTTTATCTAGAAAAAGTTAAGAGGAGGAAGTGAAAAGGTTATCATAATCTTCTTGTAAATAATATATTTATTTTCACTCTGCATAAATCTTCCAGTGAAAAATGTCTCTAAGGTCAGAAATCAATTTGCAACAGGTGGAAGACATTATGCTTTCTAGTTGATTGGGATTTGTCTCTTGCCCTCACCCCCCACCATCCTCCCCTGCTTTTTTTTAAAGAATCAATAACAACAACCAAAACAATCAAAGTACCCTGGATTGCTTGTTTTGTCCAGAGGGTAATTTTCATTTACATGCAGCAAGTACAATCTTGGAGTAGAATTAGGGTCTCTCTTATATTTCCAATAACTCATACAGTCAAGATGAAATTTCACTGTTGGATATACCTGATGTGTTAGCTTTTACTTTTTTTAAAGTAATGACTAAAACTTCATTTCCTATGCCCTAACAAGGAGAAAAAGTCTATCTTTGAAGACTAAAAACCCAAGATCCATTTTTGCTTTGATAACCCATGTTTTACTCAAAAGGAAACCCATCCTAAAATAATATTAAATTTTCTATGGGTCTTTCTATTTAAACTTTTTAATTATTTCTACTAAAAATACCGGGTAAATTTTAAACACATTTCTTCCAGTGCAAATTTTGACCAATTAAGTATCAAACTTGATTGATCTTTGCGTATTTTTTTACCAATAATTTAGCCAAATTTTACAGGAACAACAGTTCAGCTGTAAAGGCAACAACCTCACTGCCTGTGTCAGTGGCTCCGAGCTCTGGTGGGTCACAGCATGCCTGGGGAAGGTGCCCCCCTCTCCCCTGAGCCCTTTGTGTCAAGCTCAGATGCCATGGCTGGCCAGGGCTTTGCAAGCCTAACCACAAGCTACTGCTGCACAACCACTCTGGAATTTTTGGCACAAATCTTTCACTTCAGCGATTATAAAATAATTAAAATCAGGATAATTTTTGCCACCGGACAGAGCTGTGACTGTAATATAACTCCTTATTTTTCAGAGGTCTGGAAAACTGAACAACAATTTTGCACATGCTGGCCAGAAAATTAACAAAGTAAATCACAAGGCACAGAAGTTAAGGAACATTTTTACTTGTGATAATTTACAATAACGAGAACGGGAATAAGTCTTTCATAGGCTTGGGTTACTGGTTAACATGCTAAGTAGGAAATTCCTTGAGCCCTGGCTTCTCCACTCTATAGGACTCTGGGCCACTCCTGCCCTCATTGTTATAATCCAGTTTGTTATTGGACCCTGTGAATAAAGTACTCAGCCACTTGGCTATCAAACACAATATCCTACTTGCTAGTTCTAAAAGGGTTATGTTTTGTTTTTCAACAGTTTTATTTAGTCAGTTTTCTGGTGATGCTTGGGCAATCTTATTTTCCAGTATTTTAATTTTGTTTTTCCATTTTCTTCTTCCTAAGGCTACATAAGCTATTATGTGTCCCTGCAGAGAGGCTTTATAAGCCTACCAGTGTGTGGCAGGGGTATTTGTGTGTCTTCCCTTTTGTTGCTGGGAGAAAAAAAAAGAGTATTCTCTGCTCTGGAAAGTATTCTGATTTCTGTTGAATGATTCAGTGAACCCTGCCTTATTAGAGGACCATAGTTCAAGCACAATTCAGAAAGATATTTAATCTCCTTAGCCCACAGAAGCATTTCTATCTGCATGATAAAGCAGCTCATTCCAACATGCAAGTCATGAACACTTGAGTAATAAGTATACTGTTCTGCCCTAGGGTAGAGTACTGCCAAATTTTAGGAAAGCTAGTTCTGAAAGAATTTTATTTCATGCTCTCCAGTCCCAGCGTAATCGTGAATCAAGGTGGACAAATGTTTGTAGAATTTTATTTGTGACATATAAAATCCCCATTCCACAACTATCAGCAGAGAGGTTAAAACAGCTGCAGTTGGGTAAAAAAATTTGCAAGATGATTGTTGAACCTCTGTATTTCTAATTTTCAGCTGCAAATCTTATAATCACTGTTATTTCGATAAGCAGTATTTAACACTTCTAGCTCAAACAGGTTAGACTTTTTATTATTTTATTTTAAAAGAGATTAATAAAAGCATAAAGTGAATGAAACTGCTCCTTATAACGTACACACCTAACTTTTCCTTAAAAAAGCAGGTCTCTTAAAGTAAGCGCTTACGTTTCCTAGGCAGTCAGTAGAGGGAAATGCCTCCAAGGTATGCAGAGGGAGATCTCTGTCCCACTGACTCTACAAGATTGCTACCTACAACAGGTTATTCAACCAGAGCTCACCTAATAGCTGACTGCTTTGCATAAAGTGACTTGATGCAATGAGGAAGCCGGCCCCAGTAAAATCACCTGCTAATGAATAGGCACTTCCAGTTAGCAGAATTAACACCTGGCACTGACTGGGGGGTGGTGTCTGAAATCAACCCACTCAACCTAGTAATTCAAAAGGCTCATTCAGGAAGGTAATTCACAATAGAAACTAAACCACTGGTATGAGGAATACAGTAACTCAAAATGTTATATAAAACCCAGAGATGATGACAGGAGATGGCCTAAAAACATCCTTTGCTGCTTCTGAGAGACACAGCCACAACTGAAAGACCTTGGACAACAGCTTTTACGGCTAATTATTTTGCTGACTAGAGAGAGCGAAGGTGCACAAAGCACTCTGCAAGAGACAAAGTTCCCCTGTGTGAAAGAGGCTGGCACAGATCAGCAAAGATAAGCAAAGAAACCTACTGCTGAGGCTTGGGAATGAGGCCAGGTCCCTCTGCTTCACAGCTAAGAGAATTACTTGAAGGGCACGGCTGGATGTAACAGAACAGAGCACGCTCTTGGAAGCAGCAGCTGAACGTGCAGAGAGAGCATCCTAAATTCAGCTAATAAAGCTTTTGGAGTTTAAGCCTCTGGCAACCTTGACATTCACAGTCCATCCAGTTCCATACTGGGAAATTCAAGCATGTGCAGGAACACTCTGGGTCACTGGACCATGATCACCTACGGTAGCCAACTGATAGGTTATTCCCTAGCCTGTTTTAATTAGCACTCTTGCTCGGGGCCCTAACATTCTCTCTGAATAACTCCTGGGCATGGCTTGGTGGTTACAATGGTCCAGGGACAATTCTCAATGTGCAGTTTGTTTGGCAGCCAGGACAGTTTGCTAGCACAGACACTGGCCCTTCTGTGCCAGTTGGACTCGGTGCCTAGGAATATTCCCAGGCATGGTTAGTTTACTAATATGGACATAGCTGTAATGGGGTTTTGCACTACCCAGGGAACATAACCATCTGTAATAATTTACATGTGTCATAAAATTAAAACTTACATATTGGAAGATATCTTATGGAAGAAAGCAGTCTTTGAAGAAGAGGACAATTGGATTTTAAGAGCAAAACTGGAATTATGGCCAGGAATGGCCAAATCTTCACATTTAGCCAAGCACCTACCTTTTTTTCTTTTAACCTGTCCAAAACAATATACGCAGTTACTTCTTTTGGAATGTTGATTTCCTTCATAAAGGGCAATTAACGCTGTTATACGGCTGTATGTATGCACCTTAGCATACTATTACAAAGTTTCTGTTCCTAGCATCTCAGCATTCTTCTCATAAGCATTTGGTGACAGTCATGCTTTTGATAGCCTTTACTGCTATCTCTAGTCTCCTCCATATTCCACTTCAAGGGTTATGGGTGTGGTGGAGGAGGAAGAGCAGCTGCAGAATATATTTTTTCTGGCTATTTGATCAGAGAAATTCCTGTCTCCACTGTTTGGTTTGTTAAAAATAGTCCTTTACAAAATCCAGCGAGCAAATATTCCTGTGCCAGCCATCACACCCTAAAAAAACATAGCAATTAAGTAGTAGATGTGACATCAAATATCAAAATCGCTTTCTATCAGTGGGATACTCACTAAATCTGGAAACCAATGCTCTAGTTTTGGATAAATCATTCTACAAACAAATCCCCTTACACAGCTTACTTCAGATTAGATTGTGAACCTGCATTATTCTTTTAGTGCTTTGAAGATTACATCAGGTTGCCATCTAAACTGCTGCTAATTGTTAGAAAAAATTACTGCTTGTATAACAAGGCTTGAAGAAAATACTTTGCCTCAAATTGAGATTCGATTGTGCTAGGCATTTTATAAACAGAACAAACGTGTTATTTCCTTTATTTAATAGTGAGGTTTTTATACATATCTTTTAAGAAGACAACAGATGGGTACAATGAGGCAGATGGGAAAACAGAAGAAAACTACAGACTGGGCAGCACAATATGGCTATTATAGAATCTAACAATTCGGTGTTCTCACATCAGACTAACTGCAGTTTTCTTTTTTGAAATATTACTTTGTAAAAGGCAAACAGAACTGCAGCATACTGTGTATCTCAGGGAATTTCTCCCCCTTGCTTAACTGCTGCCATAACACATAGTTTACCTATAGATGTTAGGTAGCACTGTTATTACACCAGACATCTCAAATGCTTCTTTGTGCAGTGGCATAATCAGACACTCCACTCTCTTCCTTTGGTTTCATTTTCCTCTGTGCATTCTATGCCATTCCAGTCATGTAAGCCTCATTAGGCACTTGCTGCTGTATTACGTGAAGGCTAACTGCACCACATACTTCGTTTCCTGCGAGCAGGCTAAAATCTCATCAAGATGCACGGTTCTAAATTGTTTGCATTTTCATTGCATTGCCATTAGTCTGTATGAGACACAGCACCTGACGGTACTTTCTAACCATGCATGAATTTATGTGCTTCCAAAATTAGTAGCGAAGCTTATTAAGGAAGACCAATTACACTGAAGGGTAGAGCTTAATTGAAGGGATTTGAAGAGATGGTACTCTCCACTAGACACCTCACTAATGGTTCTGATTATCATCCTCAGGGTTTACCTGAAGCAGTGTAAGATATCACTGTCCCAGGGATCCACCTACTAGTGCTTAGCACCCTGCAGCAAAGGTAAACACCCACTGGTTCCCCCGTCACTGCAGCACACACTCTGGCTTATTAAATGGTCCTCAGTTCAAACTACACACACACGGACTGTGAACCACAGGTCCCAGGGAAGCACTATGGTACGGCAACAAAGAGTGGTGAGTCGATACTGGGAACTAGTTACCAATGCTAAAGCCAACAGATGAGGTGTGAGCACCTATACATAAGAGTTTAACTCCCTATGTAATGAGTTGAGAGATGTAGGTACCTACAGAGGGACACAGCACTTTAGATGCCTAATTTCAGCTGTGCAGATATTCTCCAGAATAAAGCAGCATCTTCACTTCATCCCCCATGCCACCAGGTGTCCCTAAAGAATAATTCTGTATTCTGTCTTTTCTCCCTGTCCATTTTTCTTTAGATAATGTGGGTGTGCTACCTGATCACCTGCAGACTGTTCTCCACAGAATTCAAATAAATACCACAATGGACAAGTTTACTATCAACAAGTACACTGTTTAAGATGACAGGGCTACAGGAGATCTTTTGTATCAACAAATACAGTCCCTTCATTTGAATGATCCTAAATAAGCTGAGCTGTGATCTCAAGACAGCCCATGAAACTGTACTTAAGTTTGCCCCCACAATGGGAATGCTCTGCCAGATTTTATGAAACTTTTTCTAGATTTTCATCTTTAATTTAAAGAAACAACTACAAAAACAATTTAATGAGGTTAACTAAACTCTCCTTAGTTTTTGAGGTTTTCTTCACTATTTGGTCACGATTATCGATGGATAGTCAAAGCGTTTAGACGTACGTTGAGAAGTTGAAGAAGTACAGGTGCATGTTCGTTCAGGATCATTTGATGTTGATATACAAATCATTATGTAGGCAGAAACATTTCATGAACATCACATTCTTTGCATTCCCTTGATTTTTTTTTTTTTCCTTGAAAATATCCTCTTGGATTTGGACCAGGACAATTAAAGAACGTGCTACATGACCTCCATATTTGTCAATACTAATATTGATTTATTTATACATTAACTAAATCTCTTTTTATGACTCAGCTGTATGCTGGGAAGAGGAAAACCTTCATGAAATAACTGTTTTATGCTTGCCTATTTAAATTGGAGATTGATCATAATGATCAGGTCTTCCTTTCTTAATAATAATCATTTGGATGGAGCTTTGCTAGGGATAAGTAATACTGCCAAGCAATATTGCCTGAGACACTACAAAACTGAGTGGGTAGAGGAATACGGTTAGCAGAAAATACAGCAAATGCATGGCGTAGGAGTGTGGCTGCTATTACTGCTCCTGTCTATATCATGGCATCACCCAGGGACCCTATCACAAACCAGAAGACGTTCTGAGCCTATGGAAAAAAAGAGCTGAATACCAAAGTTTTTCATCCAAAACCCCTACATACAGTTTTCTCAAATTCTAATGCTATATCAATTTGAAAGTAATAAATGAAGACACTACAGATGCTAAAAGTACTATTGGGCCTGGACATTCCAGAAACAAGGCATATTCAGAAGGAATCGGTTGTCTGAAAATCCAGTTTGCTGTCTGAAATCGTTCTTTGGAAACTGTTGTCTTCACACTCTTAGAGATCTTGGTGCTGTTTATCCAACCTGGCATTTATTTTCCCTATTTATTCTTTCCCATTTGCACTCTAATTCCTTCCTTTCTCGTCTTAAGTCAACAAAGACAAGAAGACTATTCTGATGACCTTGCAAAAAGTTGGAAGGAAAATAAGGGCTCTCCTCTTCCTTGTAAGAAATGTGTTCCTGTCATGGTTTCATCTAGGACAGAGTTAACTTCCTTACTTGCAGCTGGTGTGGTGTTACGTTTTGGATTTGGGATGGGAGAGAGGGTTGGTAGCGCAGTAATGTTTTCATAGAATCATAGAATTGTCTAGGTTGGAAGGGACCTAAGCAATCAAGGCCTTTTTTGCTCCTCACACCCCCCTGCCAGTGAGTAGACTGGGGGTGCACAAGAAGTTGAGAAGAGACACAGCTGGGACAGCTGACCCCAACTGACCAAAAGGACATCCCACACCATATGACGTTATGCTCAGTATACAAAGCTGGGGGAAGAAGAAGGAAAGGGGGGACATTCAGAGTGTTGGTGTTTGTCTTCCCAAGAAACTGGTATGTGTGATGAAGCCCTGCTTTCCTGGAGATGGCTGAACACCTGCCTGCCCATGGGAAGCAGTGAATGAACTCCTTGTTTTGCTTTGCTTGTGACTGCGTCTTAAGCTCTGCCTATTAAACTGTCTTTATTTCAACCATGAGTTTTTTCTCACTTTTACTCTTCTGATTCTCTTCCCCATTTCAGCTGGGGAAAGTGAGCAAGCAGCTGCATGGTCCTAGCTGCTGACTGGGGTTAAACCACAACAGTTCCGATATTGCTAAGAAACTTTAAGTGATGAAGACCCATTTCTCTGCTCCAGCTAGTATCAGCTTTCCTTCATGTTCCCAGCTAGACTTCTTAAATTTAGCCTTCATTTAAAGGTTTAACTTTAAGCATGGTCAAACATAGATTCCAACAGCGTCTGTATATAGTTCTCGGGGTATGTTAACACTAGCATTTTTGTTTGGATCAAAAGCCCTTTTTATAAGTCAAAGTCCCACTTGCCATGCTTTAGTTGTAATTTCTGAGCAGTCCTGCAGAACACAAACTAGACTCCTTTTCAATGTCACTAAACTAAAACATGCCCTCAAACCACTACCTAATGTTCAGCTCATCGGACAAAACTAAGTCCAGCCTGAATCCCCCCTATCCCACACAAACAGTGGTGACATAACAGTCCTTGCATAATAGTTTTTGCTCTACAATCTACTCCTTTTTGTGCACCACGCTGACGCAGACATAGCTGAAGAGAACTCTGGTTTAGAGTTGCCATACTTTTAAAAAGTAAACTTGGATGGTAAAGACTTTCTGAGATGCCAATGTGAACCATTAACTAAGAGCAGTAGGAGTAGATTACAAGAACTTCAAATACCTGAGAATTATCCAAAGTTATTTTAAAAACCTTTAAAAAAACAAAAGTGCATTCAGGGCCATAGAGTGCACATCTTAAATGTGCAAATGCTTCATATTCTGCGTCACCTTATAATTACTTAACTCCTACATAGGTACATTTCTGCTGAAGAAAACAGTTGCAGGCTGAAAAAACAGTCGAGAGAACACTCACTCATCTCTAGTAAACGCTCTCATGTTCTTACATCTCTAAATATACTCTAATTGCAGCAGCTGTTTTCAGTCATGGTCTTACCCAGATGCTAGCAGGTCACTGACAGGGTTCCAGGCACAGATGAACACCTCTGATTCATGGCCCCGAAGGACTGTTGCTTTGTTAGGAGGAATTTCAACATCCCCGTCTATTTCCATTGGCTTTGAATGATTATCTGTAAGGAGATATATCAGAATAAGTAGTTTGCAAGACGCCGTTAAGTTTGCTTTAAAAAGAGTTGGATACCCATGGCCTAAAGCTTAAAGCAATGTGTACATTATAAATAACATTCTGTGTTGTGTCACTGACCATATTACTGTTTTCTTCCCTATGAGGGTTCAGTTATGATATTTCCTTAAAATGTACAGCCTTCCAAAATATTTTGTATAAATGCACGTCACTTCTATTCAAAAAATAGTATTTATTTCAGTATAGGTTTTTTGAAGCTGGCTTCATTAAAAAATGATTTACAGATTTATTAAAATAACAGGTTGCCATATTTGAGAAAAGCTTTATACTGGTCTTTTAAAAAAGTTAGACACAGCACATACCTTTTCTTATACAGTGTCCTGTAAGTAATATGTGTTCTACTCTCAGATGAAGAATATACTGAGTAAGGGCCTCGTTCCCTGAGCACAGCAGTGAAACAATGAGAGATCACCTTCTCAAGGATATGCAGAGGTACCAAGGCATAGATATACTTAACCTGCATGCTGTAATTCTGGGGTTTTTTTAGACTGCAGTCTAAGTAACCTTGTTTTTATAAAGCTTTTTTCTTTCCTTAAGGAAAAAAAGTGAATTTAAAATGATGAATTTCTTTTAGTGGCAGCAATTCATTCCAATTTGCATCATGAACAATGTTTTCACGCCAGATTTTCACTGCTTCAGTATAAATCTTCCTCATTCAGCTCAGACTACGCTTCCTGGCAGCAGCACAAGATTATTATCCTCTGCAAGCATGGCACCAGTCAAGGACAGGTACGGCGCTGAAACACCAGACAGCAGATGCTGCACACAGAAGTGTGGCCCGTTTTGCAGAGAGCCCATCCAAGAGCGGAGAGCTGGCAGCCTCGTGTCATCTAATCAATGCCTTGGCCAGCTGATCTGCTCTGATTGATCAAAATCCAAGTTCTCATTCTGGGTTAAGTCGTTTAGTTAGTCATTCTTTGATCACATATGGAGATCCATAGGTTTGCGAGTGGAATAATTATGCTTCTTTATTGCCACATGTTTATGGCATTTAAAAACAGCCATCTGTCCTTATACTCCAGCTCTGCTGAGCTATTGCCCATCGACTGGCAAAACAGACTATGACGTTACACAACTGCCATTGGAAGGAAGATCTCCAGATTTCCACCCTTAACCGGGCTTTCAAATACCCCATTTTGCTCTGCGTAATTATGCTGAGTCACATAAGTAGCACTTCTCACTGCATATTTGGTTAGGTACCCTATTCACTATGTCTGTGCCATATCCATCCCATAGACAGAATGAAATGGAATTCACATGCAATTCAAGGAGTTCAAGGAGTATCAAAATTAGACAACAACAAACTGTAGTTTCACAGCTCACATTTCTAATTTAAAATATCTGTATTTTTAATTACACGTATTACCTGCATCTATGCTGAGTCCCTATGTCAAGCATTTTCCTTGATAATTCCTTAGGTGCATAACTGCTAAAATTAATACTGTCAAGTACTCAAGATTTAGCCTGCCACTAGCAGCTGTCAACTTTGATACGATATTCTGAGCAATGAGGGCAATGAAGAGCAAAGCAGGACTAAAACCCACCAGAAGATATGAGTCGGGAACTCGCAATCCTCTGTTTCTCAGCACAGCACAGAATCATCAAGTTTAAAGCATATTTTAATGAGAAAAAAAACAGTATGGTAATTGATCTGTGTCCCATACACACTGTGAGTTGGAAGCTGGGGGTAAATCAAGAAGTAAGATCTTTCAAGCGTTTTAATTTGAAAAATCTAAATGAGACACTGCTCTTACCCCATACAATCCTGTTACCTGCCTGGCTCTGATGGCAGAGCTGCTTTTCACCCTCAAATTATGACAGCTTGGGAGCATCATTGCTCCAAGATCCCAGAGTCATGAGGTGCTATCAGAGTAAGGCCATCTGATACTTAAAAATATTCTGTGTTTGTACATGGCCAGACGGAGGAACCTAGATACACACTTCTAATGTTATTAACTGCTGTGAAGAAAACCCAAAGTACTCATGCTGTGAAAAAGAAACTTCGTCTGGCTGATACCTGCTTTAGTACAGGCAAGACTGACTGGCCTCTGGGAGTAATGAAATACCTGCAGGATGATTTTCTATTGTCTTCATTAATGATTTTGACACTACAGCTTTGATGGTTCAGGAGAAAAGGGAGGGAAGGATGAGGATTCTTTCAGAAATTGTTTGCAAATGTTGATATTCTATGTGTTTCTTCCTGTCTTCATCAGTCAGGAACATTCGTATTTAGAGTGTTACTGTTAAGCACAAAGCTTGAAATGCCTCATTGAACAAACAGGAAAGTTCATGCTTCTGTGACACTGCTTCGGGCTCTTCTCAGATTCAGATCGACGCTAGCAATATAAGGGAGATACGATTATGATAACAACAAAAACCTGCAGAAACCCCTGAGCACAGGACGACCCCTCATAGAAGTGCTGAGTTCCCCACACAGCTGGAGCTCTTGTGAGCCCTGGTCTCCTTCGAAAGTTTGGCTTTCTTATGGATGCAGCTACAATGTGTGCATGGGGAATGAGGATAAGTAGATAAGTAAAACGCAGTAACCATCAAGAATAGGCTTCTTTTTATTTCAAAGTATCTTCAGAGCAGAAAGCTCTCAGTTAATAGCCCATTTGCACAAAGAACATCTCTGAGGGGATCTCTGAAAGAAGACAGTTCTACCAAGTGCAACAGACCCTCACAGGTCTTAAGGTCATATATTAGAGAACTCTGCTCTAATGTTTAACACAAACCATTTTCTAAAGCCCAGAGGATCTCTAGTAAAGTCTATGCCATGTTCTTCCATTTTTTTTCTCCTCAAATGTATTAAAAAATCAAAATAACTGGAAATTAAAAGTCATATTCCCCCAAATTATTATGACTAAGTTTTTTTCCAAAATATATAATTCTAACATACCAGTGAGTAATATTAAGTCTCTGTTTCCTCCAAATTAAAAAAAGATATATTTTTAATATCTTACCTAACCCTGCCTTTTCTCAGGAAATGTGTTTTTTTACTTAAATCTTTGACAGGCGTTTCACTGAAGTTGTTCTTTACAGCTGTAGTTATAATAAAGGAACTGGGCTCAGCCTTTTTTCCAGAGCTTTATTTTTCTTAAACCCAAGCCAATCCTTGCAAATATAATGAAACAAATGACACTAAAAATATTTGAGTTGGAAAACAATCCAAAGTTTGGCTCCATTTTGACATGCCAATTTTTATTTTTTTTACTAATTTTTAAAGCTGAAAACATTACTCAGGAAGCAGCAATAGAAGGCAGAAATTTTATTTATTTAGTATTTGAATCTGCCCTCAAACTGCTGTTATTGTTAGATGTTTTTCTGTCTCTCCCGTCCCTAAATCAAATCACCCTATCACATTATATTAATAATAATTTATACAAAAATATATCGTATTATATTAAATATATTAACTCTTTTTTGGGAAGACTTACAATGTCATGGACCATGTCAGAATAAATGCAAACTAGGCCACTTCACAAAGATAGCTCTTTTACCCACTCCCCCCATCCTGCCTTTTTATGACAGGCTGATGTATGTGTGACTTCCAGGTTATGACTAAGGACTAGCCCACTTGTCAAACCCATCCCTATATATGCCAGTTCTGTGCAATCCAACAAAAGTGAAAATAAAGATTTGGGAAGTTTCTCACACCTCTTTTATCAGCAGTCTTCTCTACCCAGGAAGTCTCGCAGCCTTGCCTATCCTATGTCCTATCCTAATCTTTTGTCCTATCCATCCTAAACCTTCTGTACTTACGTAAGCCATTTGATGTCCCATCCTAAACTTCTGTCCCATCCTACCCTAAACCTTTTGTTATAATCTAAGGTCTTGCCAGATCTTTCATCTTGTCTATCTGAGACTAAACAGACTCTCTGAACACAGTGATAAGGGAAAAGGTAAGGCTGGATATAGTTTGCCCTGCATAAGCAATGAAAAGAAAGGGTATGACCTTTCTGTTATTTCATTAATGTAGTTAATCACTTGTCGAATCACAGTTGGCTGTTCCTGGATGTCTCAGCAGCTTCTCTCCAAAGCCTCTTTCTCCTTAAATTGCAGACCTCCCCTCTTCACCCAGGATGATCAACTGGCACAAGAGCAGCTGCCAACAACACATGCCAGCTGGCCAGCTACTCCTCCAGGACTTTCCATTTTCCCATTGCCACTGCCCAGTTAACTGGTCTGTCTGCTAGGCTGATTAGCCCCACTAATGCTTTGAAATTTGCTGTCCGGTAGAGTATCTCATTGGTTGACACGCATCCTACCTCTGTGAAATTTTCCGGGACAACACAGTGTCATGTTCTTGCAGGTTGCTCCAGACAGAGCTACTGGATGATAATAAATCAAATATTAAATCATCCAGTTTCTTCTTAACACTCCAAGAAAGGTCTGCAACTGTTCATGAAAATCCTTCCATTAAAAAAAAGCTGTGAGAATTACTATTTTTTAATAATAAAATGGCAGATCTGAGAAATCAAGGCTCATACATGTAAACTGATCTGCAAGGCTTTCCTTTTATTAATAAAACAGTATGTGTGTTTCTTCAGATCAGAAGGAATCTGAGTGGTTCTGTATTAGTGATGAACCAATACTCAGTTTTCTACCTTAAGAATTTGGGTTTTTTTGGTCCTGAGACAGGAAGACTTTCCCCTAAAATTTTCACAAAGCAGCTGAAGGAAAGCATCAACAAACAAAATGTCAGAATTTGATACATTATAAAGTGTTTTCATTTCTGTTTGCACCCATTCATGTATGAAATAAGTTCAATTTCAAAACAAAGGGTCAGTTGGAAGAAAAACATAAGCAATCCATAGTCTAAAATCAGATTAATATTTTCAATTTTTTCAGAACTTTTTTACAATTGCTTTTCTCATATGAAAAATGTTATTTAAATCATTGCAGTTTTATTGGGGGGAAACTATCCTGTCTAACTGGAATTCTCTGAAGAAAAACCTGGTTTGAAAGCATTGTTCTCACTGATTCACTGAGGAATCTATTGAGATCAAAGAGAAGATGGAGACTGATAAAGGTGTCTACACTGCAGAACAAATAAAATTAGTCACATGACTACAGTCCTGAAATGCTACGTGTCTCAGACAAAGAGCTGTTGGGGCTTCCTACAAAACCTGCCATGCATGTTCCTCTAGAATTTCCTCAGGAGGCAATCAGGCATTAAGGTCTCATTTCAGAAGTTAGCCAGTGCCCTAATATGGCTTGCACACAGAAACCAGAACCATTAATCATATTTGCCCCGCAATGTTAGCACAGTCATCAAGATCCAGTTACACAAGCAGGTATGTCCCCTCCTTGTTTTATATGTCTGACTTTAGATATCTAAGATATGAGCACAGTCTCCCACTGGCACCAATAAACAAAAGTGAATTCAGAGCTCTTGAGAACTGACTGTTCCCACAGACTAACGAAATTTTGGGAAGGTAGGACCTTCACTTAGATATCTGCAGTGGACTGTATGATTAAGCATGGTGCTATTAAGTTAAAAGGTGAGGAATTCTTTCCTCTGTGCCTTCAAGACAGATTGGCTGCATCCAAGATCACAGAATCATAGAATTGTCCAGGCCAGAAGGGACTTCCAAAGGTCATCTGGTCCGACCTTCCTGCAGCCAGCAGGGACACCCCCAACTAGACCAGGTTGCCCAGGGCCTCATCGAGCCTCACCTTGAATATCTCCAGGGATGGGGCCTCAACCACCTCCCTGGGCAACCTGTTCCAGTGCTCCACCACCCTCACAGTGAAGAACCCTCTCCTAATCTCCAATCTAAATCTGTTCCCCTCCAGCTTGAAGCCATTGCCCCTCGTCCTGTCACTGCAGGCCTTTGTAAACAGGCTCTCCCCGGCCTTCCTGTAGGCTCCCTTCAGGTACTGGAAGGCTGCTATTAGGTCTCCCCGGAGCCTCCTCTTCTCCAGGCTGAACAACCCCAGCTCCCTCAGCCTGTCCTCATAGCAGAGGTGCTCCATCCCCCTGATCATCCTTGTGGCCCTCCTCTGAACCCGCTCCATCAGGTCCATATCTTTCCTATACTGAGGACTCCAGACCTGCACACAGTACTCCAGGTGAGGTCTCACCAGAGCAGAGTAAAGCGGAAGAATCTCCTCTCTGGACCTGCTGGCAACACTTCTTTTGATGCAGCCCAGGATGTGATTGGCCTTCTGGGCTGCAAGTGCACACTGCCTGCTCCTGTCCAGCTTCCCGTCCACCAGCACCCCCAAGTCCCTTTCCTCAGGGATGCTTTCTAATACCTCACCCCCAGATGTCTGCTGGGAATGGTCTTTGGCACCTGTGACCCTATATCCTGTGCTTGGCAATGCTTGGCAGAATGGATAGCTGGTATAGTCCAAACTGGGCCAAGGACCAGGCCAAGGCTATGGATGATCATAGGATAGTTGGCACTCAAGGCTGTGCTCTGGCCATGCTTCATTTACACAGACATGGCTTGTAGGTCTCAGCCTCTCAACCAATATCCCTCATAGTATGGCCAAAATGACCAACTGTGGCTACAGCTTGTCCCAACCTTAATTGACTATCTAAAAGCACCTACAAAGGTGATAATATTAATGAAGTCTGGGTAGCCTGCTCCAAGGAGAGAGTATACAGCTCCACTTCTTCATACTGTCTTCAACTTGCAATTCTGAAGATATCTGAAGCTTTTGGATCAGCAGTAAAACACAGCACTGTGATGTGAAACATGATTTTTACTCCTTTCTAGAAATACCTCGCCCTCCTGGAACGATTCCCTTGAGTTCTACCTCCTTGCAGACACCAACTAAGTACAAGAACATTACTGAAACTCCAATTGCCCCGGAGCGACAAGCAGCTGCAAGGGTTGGCTTACTTATTGCATGTGCCCCATTCTCCTCTCCATTCACAGTGGCTTCTCCGTTCTTTGGTGTGTTCTGCTGGGAAACAGCAGTCGTCGTTGCTCCCGCTGTTGCTGCCGTTGCTGCCGCTGCCGCCGCTGCGCTGGCTTGTTGCTGAGCTAGTTTCTCTCTGAATGCTTGCTGCCGGGTCTGTACAACATCAGGCATCACCGCGTCTATCAGAGACAGTGACTCTATGGGCCTGCCGTCAAATACTGTACCATCCTGCAGGGAAAATGAGCAGAAGTGAAACTGCAAGCTTAGGATATTCACCATCGAGGTCGGCAAAGAGGTAATGATATAAAGAAACAAAACTAGGTTGCGTGAAGATACTGCACTTTGACTTAACCAACAGTGCCACATCAGTAAAGACTGTCTCTCTCTGACCCATGATGGTGGTACTGATGTTCTGTTCGGTGAGTAAGTTATTTATTGGAATTTTATAGAAAATTCAGGCATACAAACTCTATTTACAGATGCCAAAAAATTATACTGTGGAAAAAAAAGAAGTCTGACTGATCACAGAAAGTTTCTCTTTGTTTTGGATTTGGAAAAAAGAGTCATGGTTAAAGCCACAACGAAGGCAAATAGACTCTGGTTGAATTGTCTTCCTGCACTTGCAGGGGCATAGGAATGGAAGCAGCTGATGCATAATGAACCTGAGGCAAAACAAGACGTATGTAAAAATTCAGTGGTTTCTTCCACGGCGGTCATCAGCCCAGCATCACCAATTGTAGCTGATTATACAGGACTGCTTTACCATTATTTTTCCTTTATTCTGCTAGTTTTATTCCTAATAGTTATGGCTTTCATTTTGATTTCTGTAAATTAGGCTTCAGGTTTAAAATCAATTGAGTTAACTTTTAAGGACTATTTTTTAAGACTTAATACAGACTCAGGTCAACAACTGCTTTATCTAATTAGCTTTCCTTCACTTTCACTTTCCTATTATCTTAAATATAGGAAAAAGGTTTTAGTAGCCTCCATAAAGTGCCATTTTACTGATCTTTTCCAAACTCCCTCTAATTCTTTGAAATAATCGAGACCCAGCAGTGAAAGATTTGTGTTTGAGGAATAAGACTAGGATATGGGTAGATGAAGTAGCTGGGAAACAATATAATTTTCAATAGATAACAATAACTAATAAAGAAAAATAGTCATTTGGCTGACTAGTATGCTTCTGTCGGACTATTCGTTGAATTACTGCTTACAACTACAGTATTAAGATAATACACATTTGTTTCCTCACAGGGAAGAAATAGGAGGAAAGAGTCATTCGAGAAGAAATACATAAGTGCTCTTTCTCCTCAACATTTTTTATGCAAATGTTTCTACCGACATTTATTTGAATTCTGGCTCAAGTCCTTGCTACACAATGAAAAAAATGTTTGCCAATGGATTTTGGCATCTTACACTTTTAACTTTAAAACTGCTCACTGGAGTATTTCCATGATGACTGCCATTTCACAGACCACAAACAATACTTTAATTTTATACACATTAGTTTCTAGACTCACCGATCACTCACCACCCTTAAGCAATAGGCACACATAGAGAAACCGTATGTAGCCATTATTGGCGGTCAGCCATCAGAATGGCCTTTGCTTTGCTGTAACGTACTAATAAGCACATATTTGAACAGAATCAAACCATGATGAGAGCAACATAAATCTTAACGGTGGCAATAAGCATATTTTGGATTATTCTCTCAACTGAGGCCAATTCTGAAGCTGGATGCGCAGTCGTCATAAGACCTGAACCAATAGGTCCTGTTCATGGCTGGAAGTTTCTAACTGTGTAGATCCAATTTCAGGCACAGGGCAAAATGTTAAGTAGCAGCAAATTGGGAGAGATTCCTAACAGTGGTTTGTTATTACAACTGCATCAAAGTAAAGCTTGGCATGAATGTCAAATGTCATTGCCCCAATTAAAAAATAACATATATACAACTCTTAAACACGGTATCAAGTCATAAAAAGAAAACCACACAGAATGTCAGTGATAAAACCAACTGAGTTTCCGAACTACACATTGCAAACAACACAATCTTTTATCTATTTTATATTCCTTTGTTCTCACCCATGCTGTTCACATGCTACATTCAGCTATAGAAGAAAAAGCAATAGGTTTTCATGCATTAATATTTATTACAGACCTCTGTCAATTACGAATATCTATGGTAAATATTTTGTAATGCAGTACTTGCTTATCTGTCATGCTTCACTCCCTCTCGAAGCACCATGCCTTTAAGGCTGGCAGGGCAAAAATGCTGGCTTTTCCCACATCCCCTCTTTGTTTTCTCTAGCAGTTCAAGGAGAACAGAGACACTTTTGTGGCTGCTCATGCAATCCCCACAGACAACCCGTGCCCCAGCCAGGGTCACAATTTACACACAACCATTTCACCATGTACAGGAGAAGAGGCTGCCTGGTCTTACATGATCTGAGGCAAAGTCACTGAAATCAGAGAGAATGTCTCCAGTGACCTCCATGGATTTTTGATCAGGCTTCTCAAGGCTTGCAAGCAGTGCTGCCTGCTAGCAGGTGTCAGGGAGCGAAGTTTTAACCTACACTGCAGGCTTTTCCTGCCAAATTCTGCTTGCGACCTTGAAAACGCACGACTGTAAACACAGATGCATTTTCTTATCTGCTCCAAGAATCTGTGCACCCTGGATCTGTTGACTGGGAGAGCGGGAACACCATAAAATCCATTTAAACAGCGCAAAGCCGGCCTCGATGCCACAGCTAAAAACTGAAATACGTTTCTACCTCAGAGCTTTTCAGCTCTCTGCTGGGGGTGGGGCAAGCGTGAGGAACAAAAAATAAACCAGATCAAGAGAAAGCTGGTTGCTCGCATCTCCGCCCAGGCTGTTGGGACGCACGGCCGGGCTGTTGGGACGCACGGCGTGCAGGCCAGCAGCGGTGGCCATGGTGGCCAGGGGTACTTACTTCGTTGATGCTGATCTCAGCCTCCACATACTGGAGCCCCTTCTGGAGGATGGAGATGAGTGCGGCAGGTGGCACTAGTGTTCCGTTGATGTTGGACTGGCTGATGTGGCTCTCGATTCCGAAGGTGAAGGCCGAGTGGGAGAAACCTGAGAGCAGGAAAAGGAAGCCATGACATGAAATCTAAATGCACCAGCCAGATACACCTTCACGGTCTAAAAATAATACTGCTCCGAGATCTGAGAGACGCTGCTGCGTAAGCAGAAGGACAGGGGCTCGCTGCACGGAGCCAGGGAGGTTAACCAGAGCCATCCTGACCACCCTGCCACCGCCCGTCCCCTGCCCCTGCACATATAGAAATGGAAAATGCACCCAGAGAAAAATAACCAGAGAACTGTACTAACTGAAACCAAAACCAAACACATAAAAAAATATCAGCTGCCACAAGGGCAAGTCCAGCTAAAGAGAAGGTGCCGCAAATCTTCATTTCCCTCACTGCGTTTTAGTGTGGGTGTTTTCCAAAGACAAATACTTAAATCCCTAGAAGTTGTATAAAATCAAGCCGTAGATGCAGCTGACACAGGGGAGCCATTCCCTTATGCCAGCGAGGAGATTTCAAATCCTCTGCTCATTTATTGCTGAGTACAATATGACGTGCAGAACATTGCCATTAAAACGTGGAACAACAGAAAGGCTGCTCCCGAAAGCCTATTTTTTGAAAGTGAACAGTAATAGGAAAAGTAATTAATTGGGATCTGCCAAACAGCAGACGACAAGCCAGTGCAGCGGCCTATCCTTTCACCGAAGGCTTTCTCTGCCCCATCTCATTTTTGTCATTGTCCTAGAAATAAAGAGTAATGAAGGCGATGGCACTGAAAATTAAAGAATTTTGCTGGACGCATTTTAAAGAAAGAGCTGTGCCTTAAATGCTGGCTGAAGCTGCTTAAAACTGTTGCTGGGTATGAAGGCGAGCGCCGCAGAGTGACTGTACGTAGGGGCAGATGAGGGAGGGGGAAGGGGGAACAGGATGTAGATATAACTGTAGGAACCCATTTATCACCACACTGTCTCCAGAGCATTAATCTAACATTAAAAGCCTTGGGGAAACCACCCATGCACCGTCTCAAACAGGAAGAGCCCTTGCAGTCTCCACCGACTAGACAAGAAAGAAGAAAAAAAAAAAAAAAACAGAAGAAAAAGAAAGCAGCTCTCAAATGAAAGCAAAACCAGAAAAAGCCTTTAAAATCCCCACCAACTAGAAAAAAAAAAAGAAAAAAAAAAAAAAAACAGAAGAAAAAGAAAGCAGCTCTCAAATGAAAATACTTCCGTTAAATATAGCTGTGCCTCTTCCCCTTGTCAACAGTAGTTTCATTTATAGCTTTGTCCGTTAAGGGATTTCCCCCATATCACTGCAATGTCCAATTGTGTGTGGGCTGGAGGATGGGATTTTGGGCTCGCTCCACAATAATGCTTTCTCTCTCTCACTCAAATTGTTTTCAAGATCCTTTTTGCAGCTAGCTCAATTATGATCATAGATAGATAGATAGCAAAAACAAGCCGAGAAACAGAATGCCTCCCACGTTTGAAACCAAGGTATGTATTTCTCTGTGATTCTCTCCCCCTACACATTTTATTCTGGCACTGTTTTTCTCCTCTTCCTGGTGACAGTCTCTATCATCTCCTCTCCTGACCCTACCTTCCTTTCATTGCGCTACCCCAGTTTTGAGGGATGCTTGGGATGCTTTGGATACTTTCTAGCAAGTGGCAGGTCCATCTATGAGCAGAATTACGCAGGATTAGAAGGCATAAAAATAAAGCTCAGCAAAAACCACCTGAAAACTGCAGTATAATTTCTCTAATCCCTGGGTCCAATTCTTATCCTGTATTGCTCTTTATGTCCTAGTCTAGTTTATGAGCTGCTGGACCTCCTGCTGCATCTAAAATAGGCTGTTAAGATCTGCAGGGCAGTGTTTTTCTCCTATTACTAGTTTTGTAGGACATCTAAGCACATTACTGGGCACCACAATGAGGAAGAACTCAAGCACTGAGCATACACAGCCTGTGTCTGAGAGATCTAGGGTTTGACCGCTGACCACTGAAATCTTTATGTATATATAAATACATGGCATGCAACTAACCAGAATTAAGAGTGTAGGATCCCACTCAATTTATATTTATAAATATTTAAATTAATCATCAACAACAACAATTGACAACATTCTTGAAAAGGAATGGACTTAAAAATGCATGATGGGTAAATCAGCAAATCTACTTAATAATGGAGAAAAATGAGATAATTAAGCTGTTGTCCAGAAGCACTGAACTTGGCAAAAACAGGGGCTCTGCAAATGAAGAACCTCCCACAGTACAAGATCAGGTTCGAGACCTCTTAAGGAACCTGAAGGTGCGTAAGTCCATGGGACCTGATGAAATCCATCCAGGTCCTGAGGGAGCTGGCGGATGAAGTTGCTAAGCCGCTTTCCATCATATTTGAGAAATCGTGGCAGTCTGGCGAAGTTCCTGCTGACTGGAAAAAGGGGAACATAACCCCGATATTCAAAAAAGGAAAAAAAGAAGACCCAGGGAACTATAGGCCAGTCAGTCTCACCTCTGTGCCTGGCAAGATTATGGAGCAGATCCTCCTGGAATCTCTGCTAAGGCACATGGAAAATAAGGAGGTGTTTGGAGACAGCCAACATGGCTTCACCAAGGGCAAATTGTGCCTGACAAATTTGGTGGCCTTTTATGATACTGCCACACGTTTGGTGGACAAAGGCAGAGCAACAGATGTCATTTACCTGGACTTACGCAAAGCGTTCGACACTGTCCCGCGTGACAGCCTGGTCTCAAAATTGGAAAGTCATGGATTCGATGGATGGACCACTCGGTGGATAAGGAGCTGGCTGGATGGCCACACTCAAAGGGTTGTGGTCAATGGCTCAATGTCCAATTGGCGGCCAGTGACGAGTGGTGTTCCTCAGGGGTCCGTACTGGGACCAGTGCTATTTAACATCTTTGTTGCAGACATGGACAGTGGGATAGAGTGCACCCTCAGCAAGTTTGCCGATGACACCAAACTCGGTGGGTGTGGTCGACACGCTGGAGGGAAGGGGTGCCATCCAGAGGGATCTGGACAGGCTGGAGAGGTGGGCTCGTGCAAATCACATGAAGTTTAACCAAGCCAAGTGCAAGGTCCTGCACCTGGGACATGGCAACCCCAGGCACAAATACAAGTTGGGCGGAGAATGGCTGGAGAGCAGCCCTGAGGAGAAGGACTTGAGGGTGTTGGTGGGTGAGAAGCTTCTACATGAGCCGACAATGTGCACTGGCAGCCCAGAAAGCCAATCGCATCCTGGGCTGCATCAAGAGAAGGGTGGCCAGCAGGTCACGGGAGGTGATTCTGCCTCTCTGCTCTGCAGTCGTGAGACCCCACCTGGAGTACTGTGTCCAGCTTTGGAGACCTCAACACAGGAAGGACATGGGTCCAGTGGAGGGCCATGAAGATGATCAGAGGGATGGAGCACCTCTCCTATGAGGACAGGCTAAGAGAGCTGGGGTTGTTCAGCCTGGAGAAGAGAAGGCTCCAGGGAGACCTTATAGCGAGTGGCCTTTCAATATCTGAAGGGAGCCTACAGGAGAGCCGGAGAGGGACTCTGTCAGGAAGTGCAGTGACAGGACAAGAGGTAACCGTTTTAAATTGGAAGAGGGGAGATTTAGATTAGATACTAGAAAGAAATTCTTTCCTGTGAGGGTGGTGAGGCATTGGAACAGGCTGCCCAGGGAGGTCGTGGATGCCCCATCCCTGGAGGTGTTCAAGGCCAGGCTGGATGGGGCTTTGAGCAACCTGCTCTAGTGGAGGTGTCCCTGCCCATGGCAGGGGGATTGGAACTAGATGATCTTTAAGGTCCCTTCCAACCCAAACCGTTCTATGATTCTATGACCGCTAAAAAAGCCAGCAGCTACTTTGTGAGTCAGCAGCTCAGAAACCTGTAACATGGTCTCTGATTTCAATCAAAGGGTGGATGGCATAAAAATAGTGACCAACAAACATCAACAGAAGACGTAAAAAAGTGGAAGATCACTACTGTGGGCCTACAGTAGGCTTAATTTTAACTATGACTTTGTACCTCTCAGTATTGCATTTGGTATCGTGCAGACTTTTTAGTTCACTGCTGGCATATATCAAGCCGTACCTTTGCCAGCAGATAACTGTGGCACACAGCTCACCTCTTTGTCCAGCACTGAGCTGCCACACCCCCAGAGAGCAGCACATCTCACCTGGCTGCACATGAGAGAAGGAACTTCTCAGCACAAACCCCAGTTGCGTTATTGCAATCAATCTTGTTATTTTACTGATGCTAATAAACTATCACCTAAACACCTGTTACATGAAGAATCACTAAACTCCTGGCTACGCTGTCACTGAAGAGCAATGTCACTCACACGCCTCCAGTAGTTATGACAAACTTTCCTAAAATCTTATCTGGTAAGATCCAAATACTGAAAACCAATGGAGCAAAACTGCGTAAGCGGGTGCTGCTGGACACAGTGTTCCTCACCCCTCTTGGAAAAATCCTCCCATACAATTGTAATTAAAAAGAAATACAAACACAACAGAAACGACTCAACCAGACCACCGACCAACAGCTAATTACCTCCCAATTTCTTGTACTACTGTAGTATTTATTTAAGACTCATATGAAAGTAGACTGGTTTTCAGAGTTAACACACACAGTTAACAGAATCCTGAATGAAGCTGTATCTGTGTCAGGTTTCTGATAACACTGAAAAATCACTTGAGCTTTGCTTTTATAGATACCAGATGTCATCAGTTCTCTTTGGGGCTCTGCGTGTTAGTCCGCTGAATTATATAGCAATGTTGCAGCTCTACAGTTCAGTCTTACAAAAAGGTGATTTCCATTAAACAAAGGCGAGTTTTTTAAATGCTAGCTCGTGTTACAAACGTTAACTTGGCCATCCTTCTGCAGTTCATGAAACCACACTGGGGAACGCAAAGCCAAGACACGAGCGCCTCGTCCCCTCCTCCAGTGACTCTGTGCAGGCTGCCAAGGCCCTTGGGGAGCAAGGGCAGGGACAGAAGGTGCTCTGCAAGTAGGGATCTGAAGAAAAGATGCCGTGGGGATGACAT